TCCTTCAGCACAAATTCAAACACACAGTTTAAGGTTAATTTTCATGCTAACAGTATAAAGTATTGTGCCAAAAATACATAAAGTGTCAGAAAGTTCACGAAAAGTTTCGATTTGAAAGAATCTCCTTAATATTTCTCTATGAAGTTATCTAAATCACGTTGGAAGATGAAACATCAAGAAAACCAAATAAATGCAACCTTCGATGTAAATGCATAATGCAACACCATGCTGATTAACTGCAACACTATTAACTCAACCATTTTGCATAAGCATCAAATGCTTCAAAATTTTAATTCGCTTGGCATCAAATAAGTGGAGAAATTTTTCATTGTAACAGGACCATGAGTGGTACACCACGTGTTCTTATATAAGTGGTGAGAGATATTATTTTTTAAGTTATTAATTTTTTAGCACACATATCTTACTATTTGTACAATGACACAAGATGTATCATCCTGTGTTCCGATCATATTGAAAAATCTCTCAAATAAATTAGGCTAAGTGAGTACTCCAACAGACCCTGCTTGACCACTCACCTCATTCCAATTGGTTCTGAGGTGAAACTTCAACTTAGAGCACGTAAGTTGTATTAAGTGTATGGAGCAAGAAGGAACTTCTTCGAAAAGGGCAATTGGTTGATATCTAATAGGCGTCAAGTTGTTCGTTCTTAGCTCATCGTTCGTGCGCAATAAAGTTATATGTATTGTGGGTTAACTTGTTAATTTTGTTTAACAGGGGATTGTTAAAAATTGGCACATAAATTTCTGTAAAATTGTAGGTTCGGTTGGACAAAAAGATTGCTGAGATTAATTGATCAATTGTTGTCGATTACATCCTGGCTGTCTAGATTTTGTTTCCATTATCTGTAAGCAGTACATGAATAAGTGAACTCCAGCAACGTAGCAAACCAACACAAAACTAGGATTACCAAAGAATATCAGATTCACAATAACTGGAAAAACAACAACTTATAATCTGTGAGATCAACTTACCTGGAGGTATCACCATTGAGAAACAACAGAAGAAGTCTTCTACTTCCAACACTCGAAAAAATACTCCTCTCTAAGTGAATAGGGTTTTAGATATCAAAGAAGTGTACGTGTGGAAGCAGGGACTTCAACTATTTATACAACCATTCATGTCGTTAGAGATTCACTCGGTCCATCCTATTATCAGAAAGAGTGGCGATCTCTCTCTTAATAAGTTTTAGTCCCATCATGACTCTATATACTAGTATATATCTGATAAGGATCAAAATAGAACATCTGCAATATATAAAACTCCATGACTCTTATAGTACTAAGGCTCTCAAACTCCTTGTGTTTCACATAACCATTACAACTAGTCAGGCGCCAACCAAGTAGTCCAGTTGTAATCTCATTGTCATTCAAACATAGTTTTACATTCTCCCACTTGAATATCAATGATATACCTCAATACAATAAGAATCATGATGATCATTGAGTTCACAAAAGCTTGCAACTGATCTTTCTCAGTAACTTGTCATCTTCAAGAAAAATATAGGACCACAGAAAACAAAGCACGCATTGCTTGCACTTTGCACTCTGTGATCACATACATATTTATCTTGAAAACACTATGTCACCTTTAAGAGTCATGATGTCAAGAACTGATAATTCATAATGTCAGTTCCACATAACAAACTAAAATAATTCCAGTACCAAAGTTGTTTGTAGAAGCATAATTAGCCTTTTAAACAAATCAATAATAATAATGAGTTGTAAGGCAACTAACAACTGTCAATAATAAACAAAATAATTGAAGCAAAACCAACACAGTTTATGGAGTGCTTACTCCCACTCATTAACTGAATCAAAGAGCTCTCTCATTCCGATGTTGTAAACATGTTTCTTGAAGACTCCTACTAGTAAGGCCTTTGTCATTGGGTCAGCAATCATTAAACTCGTGTTGATGTACTCAATTTTAACAGTCTCTTTCTTCACTTCATCTCTTACTTTTAAGTACTTAATATCCATCAATCCACTAGCATAAGACCTCTTGTTATTCTTCGAAAAGAAAACTGCAGCTTTGTTGTCACAATACAACTTGAGGGGCCTTTCAACACTGTCAACGATTTCCAATCCTTTCATCATGTTTTTAAGCCAAATGGCTTGTTGAGTTGCTGCATAGCAACCTATAAGCTCAGCTTCCATAGTTGAAGACGCAATACCATTATGTTTTGCACTTTTCCACAACATTGCACCATTAGCCAATAGAAAAATATAACCATTAGTTGATTTTCTGTCGTCCACACACCTTGCCAAGTCCGAATCCGTGAACCCCACCAAATCCAGCTTGTCCACATTACTGTAAGTTAACATGAAATCTCTTGTCCTTTTTAGATATCTCAGTACCTTTTTCACTGCAACCCAATGAGATGCACCAGGATTTGATTGAAACCTACCTAGCACACTCACTGCAAAAGCCAAGTCCGGTCTTGTGCATACCTAGGCATACATAAGACTCCCTACAAGAGATACATAGGGCTTATCTTTCTTTCCCCTTTTCAACAAATCCAGGTGCTTGTTGCATGTAAATATCTTCTTCAAGGTCTCCATTTAAGAACGCCGTCTTGACATCCATTTGATGAAGTTCTAAATCAAAGTGTGCCGTGAGAGCTAGGATTATTCTCATGGAATCTTTTGTTGAGACTGGAGAAAATGTCTCATTATAGTCAATTCCTTCCCTTTGTGTAAAACCCTTCACCACTAGCCTTGCTTTGTGTTTGTCAATGTTACCTTGTTAGTCTCGTTTTGTCTTGAACACCCACGTGTAACCAATAATTTTTTGTCATCCTAGTTGGCTTTGGAACTAGGCTCCACACACTATTTTTCTGCATAGACTCCAATTCTTCATGCATGGCTTGTTTCCATAACTTTGATTGTGCACTTGTTATGGCTTGATTGTAGGACAAGGGATCATTTTCATCACCTATAGTATGTTCTGCCTCATTAAGGTACACGAAATTAGGCAACAATACTGCCTTACGTACCCGCTGTGATTTTCGAACATTCGATTCCAAAATTGCAGTGACTGAAGCATTCATGAGATCTTCTTCAGTTGATTGTATTGGTGCATGTAATTTATTTTCTTGGGCATCTGCATGAGGCACGTGCTCCTCATTTATTATCTCATCTACATGGGACATATGTAAATTGTCATGAAAAGGACTTGGCATGGGAATAATGAGAGTAGATGCGTGCTGATCAGGTAACTCACTATCAAATGGGAATTCTTCAAACTCTGGGGATGAAGCTGCTGATGTACTGATGTCAGTCTCATTCTCATCTTCAAGAAATCTTGCATTATGTGTTTCCATGATCCTCGAGTGACTGTTAGGGCAATAGAATTTATACCCTTTAGACTTCTCAGAATACCCAATGAACTTGCAACTGGTGGTTCTTAGATCAAGTTTCTTCTTTGTTGGATTATAAAATCTGGCCTCGGCATTACAACCCCATACATGAAAGTGGTTAAAACTCAGTTTCCTTCCAGTCCAAGCTTCGAATGGAATCATGTCAATGGACTTGCTCGGTACACGGTTCAATATATAGTTTGCAGTTTTTAGTGCTTCTCCCCAAAAAAACATTGGAAACTTTGAATGTGCAAACATGGATCTGATCATGTCTTTTAGGGTCGATTCCTTCGTTCAGCAACTCCATTTTGATGAGGAGTCCCAGGGGTAGTATACTGAGCCACGATGCCATTTTGTTCAAGATAATTTGCAAAAGGTCCTTTGTGTTGTCCAGCCTCAGTGAACCTGCCAAAATACTCACCACCTCTATCGGATCTCACAATCTTAATGTGTTTTTCTAGTTGTTTTTCAACTTCCAAATGAAATGTTTTAAAACAATGCAAGGCTTCAGATTTTTCAGAAATAAGAAAAACATATGCAAACTGTGAAAAATCATCAATGAAGGTTATGAAATATGATTTTCCACATATGGTTTTAATTGGAAAGGGTCCACAAATGTCAGTGTGCATAATTTCCAATAGAGATTGGCTACGGTTTGACCCTATTTTCCTAGTATTGGTGAGCTTTCCTTTAAAACAATCAATACACTCTTTAAAGTTGCTGAAATCAAGTTGTGGCAATAAGTCTTGTTTTGTAAGTGTGATGATTCTTTCTTTAGAGATGTGCCCCAACCTTTTGTGCCAAATCATTGAGGTTTTTGCATGAGTGAGCACTTGTTTAGAACCAACACTTTGAACGTTAAAACATTCAATCTTACAAGTACAATTCATTTGCCACATATCAACTTTGAGATAAGCTTCACCAAGTAATTTATTCATGTCATTTGAATGGAAAAACTTTACAGTTTGATTGTCACCCACAAATGTAAAGCCGGACTTAACTAGCTTAGATGCAGAAATTAAATTCCTTCGCATGGAAGGAACATAAAGTACTGGACTCAAGTCTAAAATAAAGCTAGAGGAAAGAACTAATTTCACACTTCCTATGGATTCGACAACAACTTTGCTCCCATTCCCACATAGACATTGTAGACTTCATTGTTTTTCACCCTTGTTTTTGAGAAGCCCTGCAAAGAATTGGTTATGTGAACATAGCAGCCTGTGTCAAACCACCAACTTTTAGGAGGAATGTAAACTAAATTAGACTCAACACACATGAAAACATTTATTCCATTACCTTTCTTAACAAGCCAATTCTTGAAGCCATTGCAATTCTTTCTTAAGTGACCTGTTTCTTTGCAAAAATAGCACTCCTTATCTTTCTCAGTTTCAATGTTAACATGCTTTATTTTATGAGATCCCTTAGAGGTGATGTTAGCATTTTTAAATGAAGAAGAAATTTCTTTCTTTTTCTTCTTACCAGCAGCCACAGTTGAACCTTGAGTGAAGTCCCTTTTGCGTTTTTCTCCTTGCACAAAATTCACAACTACTGATTTGTCACTCTTGAGCCGATCTTCTTCTTGTGCACACATAGTGATCAGTTCATCAATGCCCCTTTTATCTTTCTAAGTGTTATATGAAACCTTGAGCTGCCCATATTTTGAAGGCAAGGAGTTCAAGGCCATATGAACTAAATACTGGTCAGTCATGGGTACTTCAAGATCCTTCAACTTCTGAGCAAGATCAACCATTTTGAGAATGTGTTCTCTGACACTTTCCTCACCATCAATCATGGAAGTAATTTGGGTGAGAAAAGCCCCAATTTCAGCCTTGTCAGATTCTTTAAACTTTTCCCGGACTGCAGCCAAGAAGTTTTTTGCGTTGTCTTGTTTTGGAACACCCCCTTTAACTGATGGAGCCATAGCCTTCCTCATAATCATTAGTGACATTCGGTTCGTTCTCTCCCACTTTTCAAACTTTGCCTTATGATTTGCAGTGCTCTCTGCAGTAATAGCTGTAGGTTTTTCCTTCCTTAATGCCAAATCGAGATCCATAAGGCCAAGAACCATTTCAACATCCTCCTTCCACTTCTTGTAGTTAGAACCGATCAAAGTCTCAATATTGTTGAAATTGAGGGATGTCATGTGAGGAGCTGCAAAACCAAATGATAATTTTTACAGTTGTTAGTCATTTAAGTGTCAACAAACAAAAGGAAAGATTACGCCTAATCTTTTCCCAACACATAATCGTATAAGCATAGTGTTATCTTTGGACAGAAACCATTTATACTAGATTTGCATAGCCAAAATATTGAACACAAGGGTAATTTACATAACTCCAACACTTTTGAGCAGATGAAGAATGCAATCTTGTCAATTCAATACTTCACTATACATTGATTCATTTGTTTAACTTGAATAAATAAACACTTTTGAGCAGATTATTATTCACGTGATACAAATAAATCACATGTCCGATTCTTTAGACAACAAGCCAAAATCAACAACCTAAACACTTTTGAGCAGATTAGGTGTTGAGATCCTTGTTTACAATTCAAATCTTATTTATCAGTTTGGTTTTGACAAATAAAATATGAATCCAAAAGTTCTTCTTGGTTGAGTTTTCCAGTATTGTAACTATTCTTTAAATGATCTTCTCTGCACAAGATAAACACAACTCGAGGTATACATGGCAATATATAGTGATCATACAAATTTCATTGTCAGTATGCAGCGGAAGCATTTAATGATTTAGGATCAAAACATATAGATTATTCTTATCAAGAATTAACCATGTATAAAATGAGGAACCCTAGCCATGTTGGGTTGGCTCTGATACCACATGTAAGCAGTATATGAATAAGCGAACTACAGCAACGTAGCAAACCAACACAACACTAGGATTACCAAAGAATATCAAATTCACAATAATTGGAAAAACAACAACTTATAATATGTGAGATAAACTTACCTGGAGGTATCGCCATAGAGAAACAACAGAAGAAGTCTTCTACTTCCAACACTCGAAAAAATACTCCTCTCTAAGTGAATAGGGTTTTAGATGTCAAAGAAGTGTACGTGTGGAAGCAAGGACTTCAACTATTTATACAACCTAGTGATTCACTTGGTCCAGCCTATTATCAGAAAGAGTGGTGATCTCTATCTCTTAATAAGTTTTAGTCCCATCATGACTCTATATACTAGAATATATCTGATAAGGATCAAAATAGAACAGCTGCAATATATAAAACTCCATGACTCTTATCGTACTAAGGCTCTCAAACTCCTTGTGTTTCACATAACCAGTACAACTAATCAGGCACCACCAAGAAGTCCAGTTGTAATCTCATTGTCATTCAAACAAAGTTTTACATTATCAAGACGCTTATTGATTTCCTCCTAGTATGAGTTGAATTCCGTATGTATCACATCAAATCATGGTTGTACACATTTTTCAGGACAAGTTTTTTTGGAAAATTTTCGTGACAGGCTAGATTATCTTCGGCAAACCCACACACACAAGTAGATTGCGGATCGATCACATATGTAGCAAGTACGAAATTGCAAACAAGTTCTCAATCTCAGAGTTTATATTAGTACGCTGGCAACACTCTATGCACATCATACAGCAAATACGTACAAACGAGAAAGCGAACAAGTATCCTCACACAAAAATACACATTAGAATTTGAGTTTGTAACATATTTATATTCAGGCTTTCAACCTTGTTCTTGCTTTGGGATTTTGTTCTGCTTTGGCTCCCTAATGAAGATGTTGGTTAGCGCAGAGTCACAAACAAAAGAAACCACCAAAAGACGCAAAGCCTGTAAGAAGAAACATAAACAAGTCATCAACAATTTAAAGAATATATTGTCTGTGAAAATAAATCGTGTAAAGATTTCATCGACAATTATAATATATAATTGATACCTCCTCTTTTCCCACATGCACGATTTTCTCTTCAATGTCAGTCGAAGGCACCTTCAATTCATTCAGGAGAGACAGGCCAAAGATTCGAGATATAGGTCTTACGATCAAATCATCAATTACTGTGAACATCGCCGGTCCTAAATATCCTTTATCTAGATCTTGGTAGGATTTGGGATCCTTGACTTTCATTGACTTGATAGAACTTTCAGCTGCAGTTTTGTCAGTATACAGCCTGTCATATGTACTTGAGTAATAAAATGTGGCCTCCTCAGTTCCTAAGAGATGGTTGTCCACTCATGTTGTAATAAAATGAAATTAGTACATTCGAACTTGCCCACACACGCAAACACCAATCCCAAGTTTGCATAATCATGAAAACATTACAGTCCGGTTTGAAACAACCAAAAAAAAAAAAAAAAAAGAAGGTAATAGTTTTGGGAAGCTTGGTTTTACTGCTTACTCACACTTTCTGTTTTGTACCCCCTCCAGGTTATAACTGCTAAGTCCGTATTGACGAGGATCTATGGCTAATCTTAGTATTGGTGGCTACTTTTAAGGGTATGATTCTTACCCACACTACTGCACTTTACTTATGCTCTGACATCGCGTGTGAAATGAGTTCGCTCTTATTCATAGCGCACTCTGGTATTTAGACACTTTTAGGTTCAAATTTATTCACATTTTATACACTATCACACTTTATGGCTTCGTCACCTTCCAGGTGTCAGCCAACACAGCTTGACTTGGGGTCTTAGTGGACATTCCGGGTCGAGGTGTGTCAGTTTGGTATCAGAGCCTAACCCCGGTCGCAGTGTGCCGATGAGGACGTCGGGTCCCTAAGGGGGGTGGATTGTAACATCCCACATCGCCTAGGGGAGTGATCCTTAAATGTATATTCCAATCCCTACCTAGCACGAGGCCTTTTGGGAGCTCATTGGTTTTGGGTTCTATGGGAACTTCGAAGTTAAGCAAGTAACGCACGAGAGCAGTCCTATGATGGGTGACCTATTAGTAAGTTCTCGTGTGAGTTCCCAGAAACAAAATCATGAGAGCGTGGTCGGGGCCCAAAGCGGACAATATCGTGCTACGGTGGAGTCGGGCCTGGGAAATGGTCCTGTGACATCCCACATCGCCCAGGGGAGTGATCCTTATATGTATATTCTCATCCCTACCTAGCATGAGGCATTTTGGGAGCTCCCTGGCTTTGGGTTCAATGGGAACTCCGAAGTTAAGCGAGTAGCGTGCGAGAGCATTCCCAAGATAGGTGACCCATCGGGAAGTTCTCGTGTGAGTTCCCAGAAACAAAACCGTGAGGGCATGGTCGGGGTCCAAAGCGGACAGTATCGTGCTACGATGGTGGAGCAGGCCTGGGAAGTGATCCGCCCTGGGTCGGGATGTGACAGGTCCCGCCCAGGCCAGGATATGACAACAATGGACAATCTCGTGACCACTTCTATCGATTTTAAATTTTAGGAACCAAAGTGCGTAACCATAATAATCTCAGAGACCATTTTGGCTAAAAAGCCATAAATATATGCTGGTTAGTATTATTTTTTATTAATTTACAAACACACAAAAAACATTTTTGTGCCTTTTGATTTATTAATTTTTGTGCATATTGATTTATTAGAGCATCTCTAAAAGAGATGTCAAAATGTTCAAATAAGCACTAACAGTTGAAAAAGGCAGCAACAATGTTTTCCAACCGAAAAACCAAATTTAATGTGACATGACATGAATTACAAGCCTTCGCCATCATTGACAAATTTGACAACAGCTTCAAAATTTTTTTAATTTATTATTAAATGCCTTTTATCAATTTTATTATTCTTTTTTGTTTTTAAACATTCATTGTTGTTTTAAAACAAAAGTCTGATTTGCAAGTAAGATTCTACTAGATTGAAGTTATTGTCATTTTTTTTAACTACATACGAAGGTAATCCTTCGGCACAAATTCAAACACATAGTTTAAGGTTAATTTTCATGCTAACAATATAAAATATTATGCCAAAAATATATAAAGTGTCAGAAAGTCCACAAAAAGTCTTGTTTTGGAAGACGAAACATCAAGAAAACCAAATAAATGCAACCTGTAAATGCATGATGCAGCACCATGCTGATTAAATGCAACACTATTAACTATTAACTCAACCATTTTACATACGCATCAAATGCTTCAAAATTTTAATTCGCTTGGCATCAAATAAGTGGAGAAATTTTTCATTGTGACGGAATCACGGGTGGTACACTACGTGTTCTTATATAAGTGGTGAGAGATATTATTTTTTAAGTTACTAATTTTTTAACACACATATCTCACTATTTGTATAGTGATATGTGATGTACTATCCCGTGTTCTGATCATATTGAAAAATCTCTCAAATAAATTAGGCTAAGTGAGTACTCCATCAGACCCCACTTGACCTCACCTCATTCCAATTGGTTTTGAGGTGAAACTTTAACTTACAGCACGAAGTTATATTACATGTATGGAGCAAGAGGGAACTTCTTCGAAAAGGGCAATTGGTTGATATCTATTAGGCGTCAAGTTGTTCGTTCTTAGCTCATCGTTCGTGCGCAATAAAGAATTTCTGTAAAATTGGTTGATATATGTATTGTGGGTTAACTTGTACATTTTGTTTAACAGGGGATTGTTAAAAATTGGCACATAAATTTCTGTAAAATTGTAGATTCGGTTGGACAAAAAGAATGCTGAGATTAATTGATCAATTGTTGTCGATTAAATCCTGGCTGTCTAGATTTTGTTTCCATTATCAAGACGCTTATTGATTTCTTCCTAATATGAGTTGAATTCCGTATGTATCACATCACATCATGGTTGTACACATTTTCCAGGAAAAGTTTTTTGGAAAATTTTCGTGACAGGCTAGATTATCTTCTGCAAACCCACACAATTACGCAGATTGCAGATCGATCACGTTCGTAGCAAGTATGAAATTCAAACAAATTCTCAACCCCAGAATTTATATTAGTAATCCGGCAACACGCTATGCAGATCATATAGCAAATACGTACAAACGAGAGTGCGAACAAGTATTCTCACTCAAAAATACACATAAGAGTTCAAGTCTGTAGCATATTTATAATCAGGCTTTCAACTTTGTTCTTGCTTTGGTCCTTTGTTCTGCTTTGGCTCCCTAATGAAGACGTTGGTTAGCGCAGAGTCACAAACAAAAGAAGCCACTAGAAGACGCAAAGCCTGTAAGAATAAACATAAACAAGAGTCATCAACAATTTAAAGAATATATTGTCCGTGAAAATAAATCGCGTAAAGATTTCATCGACAATTATAATATATAATTGATACCTCCTCTTTTCCCACATGCACGGTTTTCTCTTCAATATCAGTCGAAGGCACCTTCAATTCATTCAGGAGAGACAGGCCAAAGATTAGAGATATAGGTCCTATGATCAAATCGTCAGTTACTGTGAACATCGCCGGTCCTAAATATCCTTTATCTAGATCTTGGTAGGATTTGGGATCCTTGACTTTCATTGACTTGATAGAACTTTCTGCTAAACTGGTAGTTGTCACATAATCAGCTAAAATACGAGAAATGAGAAGAGTTTTGTCACTAGACAGCCTGTCATATGTACTTGAGTAATAAAATGTGGCCTCCTCAGTTCCCAAGAGATGGTTGTCATAGCAACAACCGGGGGCAAGCTTGGGACTGAGTAGTGTTTCTTTGTGGTTGTTCGATATGTAGCGATTGTCAAGATCTTGGACACTCTTGAACAACTGACTAATGCATCCTCTTAATGAGCAATCACGCATTTTGCTTACAATGAAACCCAGTGGAATAGTTAGGAAACTGAGTAGTAAACTCACAAAATCCTCCCCTACTTCTGCATAACAAACCATCTTCTTGGATTTGCTCACTATAAGCTTGACAGAAATGTTTCCATTTGGATTCGTTGTGCCTTCTGCAATTTCAGGTTCAAAATCCATTACTTGATTTTCATTGCTCAATTTCCGTATTGGTTTATTCTTTAGCAGAGTTTCTGTCAGCGGTGTCTTTGATACTAATGAGCACACAAGCAATTTCAAAACCTAAAAGCAGAAGACAGATTAGAAAAACCACTGATCGATAAAGTTGTTAAAAAATAAAAACAAAGGCGCATGTCAATTCTTCAGTTACCTCATCAGATCCAACATTGAAAGTCACCTCCTCAGTCGTATTACCATTCATGACTCCAAGCTCTGAAAATACAGAAAGGCTTTTCACAGTTAAAGGAGGCATCAATTGTAAATCATCACTAATTATAAGTCTGGCTAGTCCTTTCACAAAGATGTCTCCGTCTTGAATCGCTGAAAGTTCTCTCTGAGAATAGATATTTCGTCCACAACCTTCACATCTAACGCCGTAGCTATAACTTAACCCAGGACATTCACTTCCGCAGATATAGTACCGTGTGGGCTCACCACGGTCAATCTTCAGTTTGAGGTTCTTGCAATGAACTTCGGCCCCATTCAGGGGACATAACAACATATCTCTACATGCTTTAGACCGGAAATGCTTTACATCCATATTCTCAACACTTGCATACAAATTTTTCATACAACCTATTTCTAAAGGTACTGATTGCTTAGGTGCCAGCCTGATAATTGTTCCAATGGGGATTGTCAAGAAGCTCAAGACAACATCAATAAAAGCATTTTCTGACTCTATGAACATAATTTGGTTGCGCTCCTTGTCCACCAAGGCTTTCAGGCTAATGGTGTCCGCCGGTGTATTAGCCATGGATTACAGCAGAAAATAATTTCAGCCTTGAAATTCACAAACCCATCAGAAAAACATAACTCATAAAATCCAAAATATAATTCACAAAGTAACATGAAAAACGAAAACAGGATATACTTGACCATTAAACTAGACTCCTAACTAAATCAAGCAGATTACTCATATCAGGCCAAACAGCTCAACATTACGAGTACATTTTGTAAGACTAAACTTATCGAAAAACATAAGTTAAAAGATTAAGCTCATGAACCACAAATTTATACAAGCATTAAAATCAAAATACAATAAACACAATAACAAACTAACCCGTGAAAGCAGTAGAAGAAGAAGCCAAATCAGACTTCTAAACAGTGCACCTTCTCCCCTCTTGCAAAACCAAAAGTACTCAAACTAACCATAGGTCTTAGTTCAATATTGAGCGTATATTTTGTGAGAGCAGTGGCCACTATTTATTATAGATTAATCCTAATAATTCTCCTATTAGAAACACCATAGGATACCAACTATGAATCCAAATCATATCTGAATTACAATCCTACAAGAATTAGGATAGTTTTAAGCTTTCTAGCAAGACTTTTTTATGTCAATTGAAACACTACAACCGGCTATAATATTTAGTTTCATACTCATATTCTAACACATTTAACAAAAAAAACATGGAATTTGAAGTTTGAACCTGTTCGTATAAATCTTCTGAGTCGTAGTAATGGATGAAGGTGATGAAAACACAAAGACTTGAGAGAAAGGGTCAGCTGAAGGTGAAATAGTATGAGTGATGAGATGGAACGTATAACAAAAATAATACGATCTCTAGAAGCAGTTATGGAAGAGACAGTATAACAATTAACAATTAAGTTTTAGGTCAGTATTAACATAATACATATCAAGCAGATTGAACCCGTCCAGACAGATCAACATTGCAAGTACAATTAAAATTTAAAAACATGGAATTCAAATATCTTTACCTTTTTGTGTAAAACTGCGAAGCTGAAGTAATGGGGGAAGGTAATGAGAAGGCGAAGACTTAACGGGTGAAGGTAATGAGAAGACGAAGACTTATAAAACAGGCTCAGCTTAAAGTCATACACAAATGGGTGACGGTTGCAAGGAGGTGCATATGTTATGGCCCAGCATTTTGGCTTTTGCTTTTGAAAAGCTAATGAGGTGTTAACAGCATCTCTAAATGAAGATATCCAAGACAAAAACTTGTACGGAAGTTTTATGGTGATACAAGTGAAGAAAGGTTGTGCGAATTGGGTGACATGGAGCACGTGTCGTGTGGCCGTTGGGCATCACACATGAACCAACCTGCTTTAATACTGCAAACAAGTTGAGGTTCCACTATAAAACCAATTGGCAATATAAGGAGTAGCCCAACCTGCCATTGCAAGGTTTCTTCTTTCACCAATGTGAGACGCTTCAACCTTCACATTTTCACAACTTCTATGTTGCGTTACTAATCAATGTGCTATAAGATGAGTGAATTGGTAACAAAACGTGACAATGTGATGGTACCAGTGAAAATTACTCGGCATCATTGTATATTTTCACTGACTGCGCCTCTAATCAGTGTGGACCAGAAAGTCCGTGGCTGCTACTGTTAAAAAACCTGTGTAGAATAGAACAAGGACTCGGCTTCTCCGCTATTGATCTCACACTCACACGGATGAAAATGCAAAAAGTCCTCGCGTTTTCATCACGATGAGATTGTTGGCATCACTGATGGTCAATTCTAAAAAGGGCAGTATTATCTCAGTGACAAACTTACAGAAGGGTGCATCACGGTGACCTTATTAAACAACAGCCTGATGAGATCGATCAAACAATGAATAATACAATCCGTACGATCAGTTTATATAAACAGAAGAAATGTCACCATCATGCATTAAGATAACCAAGCTTTAGCTTTTGAAAAGAAGTGAGGATCACTTTGAGTGGGGGTGCATATAGAGGGCCGCCATCTTTAGCTTTTGAAAAGAAGTATTCATTACTTTACTTAGCTAGGAAGAAATTTACGGTTTCATTGTACCTACAGATTTGCAGCTCTGAAGACATGTATAGCATTATGAGTTTAACCTTTAGCTAATCAGGTGTTAATAGAATATAATCTCCAAAGGATACATAAGAGGCAACCTAATGAGTTTGATCAATTTTGTTTAAATTGGCTAGTAGGCCTCTATTCTTTTGTAAGAGAGATTGATGCATTTGATAGCTAACTGTGACTGCAACTGATAAGGTCTACTGAATTATGAAAAATACGATCAGAGAAGAAAAGGAAGAAAATTCAACCTCTTCTAGAAATTAAACGTGAGTAATATCCCTAATTAGGCTAAACAAGATCTGACTTCTCCAAGGTAGTTCATCAATTGTTGTCCATTCCCAATTAACGGTATTAATACGAAACTAGTATATTCAAACTTGCACACACACTCGCAAATTCAACTCAACAACTCTAGTATTCAAATTCAACTCCTCGGTAATATTTCCGTGGTGACCCCAAGATTGGTAAATAAAGAAACGATTGATTCACTAAAAAGAAACGATTGATTCACTAAGTGGGGAGATCAGTTTTAAATCTTCGGTAATCAGAAGCCAGGCTGACTCTGTTACAAAGGCTCTCGCAACATCCACAGAAAATGTAATCTCACGACGCGTGGAATTTGTGGACACTGGACAAATGATACTTGGTAATGACTGGAGAACTTTCTTGTGGCCGTGTTCAGGCAACAAAGAGAGCATACAAAGTACTGTGTTGGCTTGGCATTGTGATCAATTTGCAATACAAGGTTCTTGCAATGAGATCCAGCCGCGTTGTGGGGAAGCAACAACATTTCTCTACATGCAATGACCGCAACTCACGTACGTCTATTTCCTTCACACTTGAATACAGATTGTTCATGCATCCTATGTCATCCTTTCATAGTCCAAAGGCGTAACAGGAGATGACTACAAATTAATGTGATTCGAATCCAAAATGGGCAATCAATATTTTTATCAAAAGATTCAAATTACTACCAATATGTGTTATGAAATGTGTAAAATAAGAAGATAGTAACAACAATAACAACAACTAAATCTTATTTCATTAAATAATCTCAGTTGTATAAATTTTAAAATTTCATTACGCTCTATTAAATAGAAAGTGTAGGCATAAAATATAGTGCAACGGCACAAATTCTACATTGGAACAAAAAATAAAGCAAGAAATTCGAAGTGCTTTTTTCGGTAAAGTCGCCAAAGGACGAGGGTAATGAAAACACAGACTCAAAGCCTAACAAGCGTCTCTCTCTCTCTGTTCACTCTTTCTAAAACAACCTAACCGAGACCCTCCGTTACCCAACAGCAAAAGTGATCCTCCGATCGTGAGCTTCCTCTGTATGTAAGTGGGTTTCTTCAATTCTAACTTTTAGATTTGAGGTTCAAGATCCGTGGTTGTGTTTGGGAGATTGAGTTCGAGCTGGGCTGTAAGAAAGTGGTTCAAATTGTTGGATTTGGGTAAGAACCCTATAAACCCGAACCGTAATTGTAGCCCTCTTTCGATTTCCAAGTGCTGGACTTGATTTCTCTGTGTTTTTTTTTTATGTGAATTATTTTAAGGTGGTGAGTTTATATTGGAAAGTTTCTAACTTTTTCGCTGGAATTTAAGTGGGTAAAAGTTTATGGTGGAATTGGTTAGAAGAGATTGTAAGTGTCTCAGATATGGGTTTTTTTTCTTTTCAAACCGCACCAGATGCGAATTTGTGTTTCTTTTTTGGATTTGAGTTTATACATTTTCAGACCCGAGTTATTGTTTTTATATTTTCATGATCCCGAGTTTCATATTTTTTTTTTTATTTTTATAATATGTAACTGATAGGGCACGATTACAAAACTTGTGCTAACATGGATTGGAAAAGTCATCTGACAAGATTGTCAGAACACAAGCACAAAAAAAGCTTAACTCTTTGAGCACCAAATGCCATATTGTGCCCTATGAACAATGGGCACTCCTGCAAAGGACACAATAATATTTTAGGTGCTGCAGTGAATTCCAATATAGGACGCATATATTGGTGTCCTTAAGCCTCATATGGCACAATTAGCTTTTTGTTTGCAGTGCCTATATGTTTTGCAGTGGCGCTGAATAATGAGCCCTGTAGAAAACTTCCAAATTCCTCGTTTATGATGAAGTTTTATTTGGTATTTTAAATTCAATCGTCAGTTTTATTTGTATTTAATTTCAATTGTCATATCGGGTAAGTGATCTCCGGCAAAAGTGATAAAGTTAGAGGTAATATGAGTTTTCTTCTTTTAGTATTTATCTCATTGAATTCATATACAAGTTAGGCTTCCTTTCTTCTTAGCGTATAATGTCCTTGCAAAGTGGTAGTCTCAAATCAATCAACCCAAAATAATCTTGGGAGTTGGGAGTTCAGAGGTTAGTTATGAACTATATTGATCTGCAAGTGTGCTTCATTCGTTCTTTTTTCCTCAACAACATTTATCCGATGCGAAAAAATTTCTAAACTTGATCACGTATATCATGGTTTGCTGAAAATTTCTTTGGAGTATTGATGCGTTTTTATTTATTTTTAGTATTATTCTAGATGACTGGCATTTTCTTGTGATAGTTGGTTATTATTTGAATCTCTATTTCCTGAGCAGGGATTTAATCATAATTCACAAGTGTTCATTTCTTATTAAAAAAAAAAAAAAGGGAATTCTGTCATTTGCTGTTGGAATGGAATAGAGAATGATACTTATTCCAGTTCATTGTTATTTCGTGCAGTTCATGGAAGAAAAATCTGAGAAGAAAATTAGCTTGAAGGTGTTGGTGAACAATTTGACCAACAAAGTCATTTTCGCTGAGTGTGATAATGATTTCGTTGATGTTCTCTTCAGTTTCTTGACAGTCCCTATGGGAACTATTGTTAGGCTTTCCCATCATTCCCAATCCTTTGGAATTGGCTGCATTGACAACTTATTTGGAAGTGTTGAGAGTCTTGATTTACAGCTTTTTCGAACTAAAGAATGTCGAGACATGTTGTTACATCCCCGCAATGGAGCTGAAGATCTATTGAGGAACCTGAAATTGAAATATGATCAATGTGAGCCCCCACGGTACTTTAAGTGTTCTAATCGATATTGCCGCAAATTTGCACAAAGGTTTAGTTATTACAAAACTGTTCATTGTTGTTGTGGGGGTCTGATGAACATGGAGACCATTTTTACAACGAAACAAGCTGAAGGTGGTGGGGTTTTTGTGGAAGCACCAGGGAGATTTATTATTAGTGATGATTTACAGGTACTGCCTCCATTTACTTGTGCAGTATCTTCTGTAGTTTCGAACCATGGACTCATGGGCTGGAAAAGCGTTGAGGAGCTGACTTTTAATGTGGGAGTTGATGAGGTAAATGATGATGTGTTGACATGCAATGCCAAGTTAAATAAAACTCCAGTTTCTGATCTTCCCTTTTTGTTTATTTTTTGTTTTCCAGGTTTTGAATTTGCTTATGCGCTCTTTAGTATCAGAGACACCTCTGACTGAAACTCTGCTGAAGGATAAAACCATACCAAACGTGATTGATGAAAATCTTGACCAAGATTTATGTATTGAATATCGAGAGGTGGGAGGATTTTGGGAAGAAAAGATTTCTATCAAACTTATAGTTAGCAAATCTAAGAAGAAGGTTTATTATGCCGAAGTGGGGGAGGATTTTGTTAACTTACTCTTCAGTTTCTTGACTCTTCCACTAGGGTTTGTTGTAAAACAAATGCAACATAACTCTTTGAAAGGTTGCATTGACCAGCTGTACAGAAGTGTCGAAGATCTTGATGAGCAGTTCTTGAAGTCAAATTTACACAAGAAAATGTTGGTGAGTCCTAAGCTTCTCCCTGGATTTGGCTACAAGAATCATCTTCTGGGAATTGAGGAAGCATCGTATAAATGCACTGACTCCGTAGAACGCAAATCCCAGTGTAAAGAAGATTGTATTGACTTCGTGGACCCCAAATCCCATCATAAAAAAGATGATAAAGGTTGTGGATTCTTGAAAGGACCTGCGATGTTCATGGTAACTGACAGTCTCAATGTAAGTCCAATATCTGCAATTGTCGGCATGTCAATTCTATGCGAACTGAACGTACCTGTGACTGATGTTGAGGTACAAGTGGCTCATGTGGGGAAAGAGGAGGTGAGTCATACCATAAACTCTTCGAATCAAAACTTTGGTCATTTGAAAGTGATTCTTTGTGTGAGTTTATACATCTTGTTTCAATTTGGACATGTTTCTCATTGCAGGCTATCCGTCTTTTGATGGCTTCTTTTGTTTGTGCCTCTGCTTTAACTAGTGTCTTCCTTACGAAGCCGAAGCGAATTGGAGATTTAGGGTGCCTAAGTTTTCTATTTTAAGAAGAGATATGCACCTTCTGGTACAAATTTATGTACCTTTTTTCTTATGCACCATCATCGTTTTGTGTTATATGACCTATATTTTGTGCTGCTTATATTCAGGGATGCACCTTGCTATTTTCAGATATTATTCTTGTTATTTTCTCTTCATGTCTTGCTTTCATTGTGAAGCTAGTTACTGATTTCAGACAATCAGGAAGAAATGAAATATAAAAATTGTGACCGGAGGTAAGAGATGGATAACTCATGAAGAAAACAGTACGTTGAATCATACGCGGAGAACCTCGTCTTACTTAAGACAAGACTGATGCAATTTCTTTTCGAGAAAAAAAAAAGTATGGTGATTGCATTGGCTCTGTTTTGGTTTTCACTTTCTTCTTGGTCTACTGCATATGCTTTGTTATGCCCCGAAATTAGGGATGTAACAGTGCCACGCCTTGTTGACAAGGTTATACTACAACATGAGGACGCGATGTTTTAAAATCACGTTCCCAATAAAATGTCAGGTAATTAAGAGAATAAATAAAACTGTTTATGTTACGACAGTGCTGAAACGTAAATAAAATTGGTAGGCCGAAAATAAATTGAAAATTCGATTTTAATTTAACATACGAGTCAACCACAGCGTTATGACACTTTTTAGTAAAGCAAATTCACTTTATCGCCACTCATCCTAGTCCATTTGTTTTACACTGAATTCTCATATTGTCCATTCTAAATTTCTCCGTGCTCCTAAAAATGTTCTGAAAAATGCCATAAATTCATAATGGCGTCCACCATCTTCTAATGAACACCTTTTTTGATAAAAAATATGAATATATTTTTCGAAAAATTTCTACTACACGAATCTCGAAATTCAAACTCATGTAACAGTGATAAATAAAATGATGAGCATACATCATAATTTATGGTGGTGAATAAAAATGCACTCATTTTTATTAAAGCAAATTCACTTTGTCACCACTCATCCTAGTCCACGTGTTTTACACCGTCAATTCCCATATTTTCTGTTATAAATCCATTTGTTCTCCCAAAAATGTTTCGAAGAAAGCTACAGACTCATAATGACATCCACCATCTTCTTTAGAACACCTTTTTGGATAAAACAATATGAATATATTTTCCGAAAATTTCCTTCTTCCTTGATAATAAATTCTTCTTCGGATCTCACATCCAAGGCTCCTCTCTCATCCAAGGCTCCAACTGAGTGTGACAGTTTTATATGAAAATGCCTTGAACTAACTAACTAGTGTTACTAATTCATGAGTGGAAGAAATCAATAAATAGCTTTATAATCACTGTTCTAAAGATTGGCCTAGGCAATACCTAGGTGTTGGGCGGTGGAGCCCCGCCCCGAGTTTGGGCAAGGCGTTTGGAAAAATCAGCTAGAAGTAGACCTAACATTCGTGTCGTGTTTCTTGTGTTCATGTCATTTTCATGTCACTCCCAATAGCTTAACAGATCGTGTCGTGTAATAGCCGTTAAAGTAAACGGGTAATATGACCCCACCCGAAATCAGTATATACATACTAAATTTTGAAGTTGACCCCTTCATGAAAGTTGTAATGTTTTTCATTACACGTGATTACATTTTTCACACTTCTACAATAATTATTATTAATTTTGCACTCAAATAAAAAAACATTGTTCATGAGATTTGGAGGGTTTTAAAAATCTAAACGACTATGTAACCCTCATCTCAGCGTTAAGGATGCAATTATAAACGTTTATTATGCTTTCACATCTTTCAGACTTATACATTAATGATTATGAATTTTGTTTATTTTGAACACCCTTAAAAATACTATTCATGAGAGTCTGTATGGTTTTAAAAATTCAAACGATCATATACCCATCCTCAAATCGTAGAGGATACGACTACGAGCGTTTGCATATTTTTTCATATTTTTGGCACATGTAAATTAATTATTATAATTTTTTTAATGTGCTTGGTATTTTTAAATTACTTGATATTTTTATTTTTAATGTGTTTTATGATTTTTAATTTCAATCTTTGCCTATAATACACTATAAAAATAAATAAAACTTAAATTTTAAAATTTATAGAATAATAATTAATAAAAAATATATACATATTCATTATATTTATTGTATTTTATAGTAATTTTTTTTTAGTAGTTTAAAAATTAAAATCATCAAAATAATTTTTTTCTTATCTTGTCAAAATAGGTTACCCACATGTCATTCTCATGTAAACCTGTTAAGGATCCGTTATTATTGTGTGACCCGATAATGACTTGATTAGTTATCGTGTTGACCCGAAATCTGTTATTTTCATGTCGTGTTAACGGGTCGTGTAAGAAATTGTCAGGTCTAGCTAGAAGCTAGGCGACTCCTAGGCGGTTTTTTTTTGTATTTTTTTTTTTTATTAATTGTGTGCTTTTTTCTTTTTTGGTTTCATGGTGGTATACTTATGGAAATGGTGTACCTAATTTGCAAATGGTGGATTGACTACAAGTTCATCCAATACTTATGGAAATGGTGTACCTAATTTGTTTTTTATCATTCTTTTATTATTCATACAAGTATTGTTTTTTTAGGTGTAAATAGGCACTTATTTACAAGATATATAATAAATATACATAAATCCACCTATACCACCTAGGTGTCTAGGTGTTATGCCTCTACTCGCCGCCCGACTAGCGCCTAACGATTTTTAGAATCTTGTTTACAATGATAACAACACACGCACTCAAAGCAATAATTAAATAAAAGAAACCCAAAATTAGGTCATAAGCATATAACACAAGAAAATATAAAAGTTCAAAGGAAGATACGTAAATTTGTAAAATAAAGTGCATGATCTCTTCTTAAATTAGAAAACCAACGCATCCCAATTCTCCGGCTCTTCTTAAAGTCATACACAAGTGGGGACGGTTGCAAGGGGGTGCATATGTCATGGCCCAGCATTTTGGCTTTTGCTTTTGAAAAGCTAATGAGGTGTTAATAGCATCTCTAAAAGAAGATGTCAAAGACAAAAACTTGTACGGAACTTTTACGGTGACACAAGTGAAGAAAGTCTAGGTTGTAAGAATTGGGTGACATAAAGCACGTGTTGTGTGGTTATTGGGCTTCACACGTGAGTCAATCTTACTCTGATACTATGAACAAGTTGAGGTTCCACCATAAAACCAATTGGCAACTATGGGAAGTAGCCTAACCTGCCATTGCAAGTTTTCTCATTTGACCGATGTGAAACTCTTGTACCTTCACATTCTCACAACTACAATGTTGTGTTACTAATCAAAGTGCTATAACTTGAGTGAATTGGTAAAAAAAAACTTGATAATGTGATGATAACAACGAAAATTACTCGGCATCATTGTATATTTTCACTGACTCTACTATGTTGTGTTATTAATCAATTTTCTATAACTTGAGTGAATTGGTAAAAAAACATGATAATGTGATGATAACAGCGAAAATTACTCGGCATCATTGTATATTTTCACTGACTCCGCCCCTAATCAGTGTGGACCAAAAAGTCTCTGGCTGCTGCTGTTAAAAAAAATTGGGTAGAATAAAACAAGGACTCGGCTTCTACACAATCACTGATATATTGATCTCACACACACATGGATGAAAATGCAGAAAGTCCTCGCGTTTTCATCACCGTGAGATTGATCGCATCATTGATGCTCAATTCTAAAAAGGGCAGTTTATCTCAGTGATGAACTTACAGAAGGGTGCATCACGGTGACCTTATTAAACAACAAACTGATGAGATCGATCAAACAATGAATAACACAATCCGTACAATCAGTTCATAGAAACGGAAGAAGCGTCAACATCATGCATTAAGATAACCAAGCTTTAGCTCTTGAAAAGAAGCGAGGATCACTTTGAGTGGGGGTACATGCAGAGGGCCGCCATCTTTAGCTTTTGAAAAGAAGTATTCATTACTTTTCTTAGCTAGGAAGAAATTTACGGTTTCATCGTACATGCAGATTCGAAGCTCTGAAATTATGTATAGCATTATGACTTTAACCTCCAGCTAATCAAGTGTTAATAGAATATAATCTCCAAAGGATACATAAGAGGCAACCTAATGAGTTCAATCAATTCTGTTTAAATTGGGTACATAGGCCTCCAATTAGTATTTTATCAGAGAGATTGATACATTTGATAGCTAAACTGTGACTGCAACTGATACGGTCTACTGAATTACGAAAAATACGATCAGAGAAGAAAAGGAATAAACCTTCTAACGAACAAATGTTCATTAAACAAATGAGTAATATCCCTAAAGCTTAAACAAGATCTGACTTCTCCAAGGAATTAGTTGATCAATTGTTGTCCATCCCCAATTAACGGTATTAAAACGAAACTAGTATATTCAAACTTGCACACACACTCGCAAATGCAACTCAACAACTCTAGTATTCAAATTTAAATCTGAGTTACTGCTTATATATTTTCATGATCCCGAGTTTCATTTTTTATTAATATTTAACCAATAGGGCATGATTACAAAAATTGTGCTAACGTGAATTGGGAAAGTCATTTGACAAGGTTGCACAGTATTTTATAACTTTGGTATGGAAATTATGTCAAAAACATGAAATGACGGAGAGTCCATAGAAAGACTCTTTAGCATTTCTCTTGTGCTTAACTCTTTGAGCACAGAATGCCATATTGTGCCCTATGAACAATGTGCACGCCTGCAAATTAAGGATCCAAATAATATTTTAGTTGCTGCTGTGTTGCTGTATAGGACACATATATTGGTGTCCTTAAGCCTCATATGGCACCATTAACTTTGCATTTGCAGTGCCCGTATTGTTTGTAGTGGCACCGAATAATGAGCTCTGTAAAAAAATTCCAAATTTCTTGTTTATGATGAAGGTAATATGAGTTTTCTTCTTTTAGTATTTATCTCATTGAATTCATATATAAGTTAGGCTTCATTTCTTTTTAGCGTATAAGCTCTTGTCCTTGCAAAGTGGTAGTCTCAAATCATTCAATCCAAAATAATCTTGGGAGGTGGGAGTTCAGAGGTTAGTGATGTGAACTATTTTGATCTGCAAGTGTGCTTGATTTGTTGTTTTTCCGACCGTTTATCCAACGTGATAAAATGTCTAATCTTGATCATGTATATCATGGTTTGCTGAAAATTTCTTTGGAGTATTGATCCGTTTTTATTTATTTTTTAGTATTATTCTAGATGACTTCACTTGCATTTTCTTGTGGTATGTTATTATTTGAATCTTTATTTCCTGAGCAGGGATTTAATCATAATTCACAAGTATTCATTTCTTCTTTTAAAAAAGGGATGATTCTGTCATTTGCTGCTGGATTTGAATAGAGGAATATGATACTTATTCCAGTTCATTATGATTTCTTGCAGTCCATGCAGAAAAATCTGAAAACAAAATTAGCTTGAAGGTCTTGGTGAACAATTTGACCAACAAAGGCATTTTCGCTGAGTGTGATAATGATTTCGTTGATGTTCTCTTTAGTTTCTTGACAGTCCCTATGGGAACTATTGTTAGGCTTTCCCATCATTCGGAATCCTTTGGAATTGGTTGCATTGGCGACTTATTTGGAAGTGTTGAGAGTCTTGATTTACAGCTTTTTCAAACTAAAGAATGTCGAGACATGTTGTTACGTCCCCACAATGGAGCTGAAGATCTTTTGAGGAACCTGAAATTGAAATATGATCAATGTGAGCCCCCACTGTACTTTAAGTGTGCTAATCGATATTGTGGCAGTTCTGCACAAAGGTTTAGTTATTACGAAACTGTTCATTGTTGTTCTGGGTGTCTGATGAACATGGAGACCATTTTTACAACGAAACAAGCTGAAGGTGGTGGGGTTTTTGTGGAAGGACCGAGGAGATTTATTATTGGTGATGATTTACAGGTACTGCCTCCATTTACTTCTGCAGTATCTTCTTTAGTTTCGAACCATGGACTCACGGGCTGGAATAGCGTTGAGGAGCTGACTTTTAATGTGGGAGTTGATGAGGTAAATGATGATGTGTTGACATGCAATGCCAAGTTAAAATTTTCAATTCGAACTAAAACTTCGGTTTCTGATCCTTCACTTTTTGTTTCCAGGTTTTGAATTTGCTTATGCGCTCATTAGTATCAGAGACACCTCTGACCGAAACTCTGCTGAAGGATAAAACCATACCAAGCATGACTGACGAAAACATTGACCAAGATTTATGCATTGAATATCGAGAGGTGGGAGGAAAAAGGAAAGAGGAAGAAGAAGAGATTTCTATCAGGCCTGTAGTTAGCAAATATAAGAAGAAGGTTTATTATGCCGAAGTGGGGGAGGATTTTGTTAATTTACTCTTCAGTTTCTTAACTCTTCCACTAGGGTTTGTAGTAAAACAAATGCAACATAACTCTTTGAAATGTTGCATTGACCAGCTGTACAGAAGTGTCCAAGATCTTGATGAGCAGTACTTGAAGTCAAATTTACACAAGAGAAAGTTGGTGAGTCCTAAGCTTCTCCCTGGATTTGGCTACAAGAATCATCTTCTGGTAATTGAGGAAGCATCGTATAAATTGACTTACTCCGTAGAACCCAAATCCCATCGTAAAGAAGATTTTGTTGACTTCGTAGACCCCAAATCCCATCATAAAAAAGATCATAAAGGTTGTGGATTCTTGAAAGGACCGACTATGTTCATGGTAACTGACTGTCTCCATGTAAGTCCGATATCTGCAATTGTCGGCATGTCAATTCTGTGCGAACTGAACGTACCTGTGACTGATGTTGAGGTACGAGTGGCTCACTTGGGGAAAGAGGAGGTGAGTCATAACATAAACTCTTCTAATCAAAACTTTGGTCATTTAAAAGTGATTCTTTATTGAGTTTATACATCTTGTTTCAAGGCTGATGCTTTAGACATGTTTCTCATTGCAGGCTATCCGTCTTTTGGTGGCTTCTTTTGTTTGTGCCTCTGCTCTAACTAGTGTCTTCCTTACGAAGCCAAAGTGATACGGAGGTTTAGGGTGCCTACATTTTCTAATTTAAGAAGGGAATATGCACCTTCTGTTACAAATTTAAGTACCTTTTTTCTTGCACTATCATCGTTTTGTGTTATATGACCTATATTTTGTGCTGCTTCTAGCATAACTATTTAAGGGATGCACCTTGCTATTTCAGATAATATTCTTGTTTCTTTCTCTTCATGTCTTGCTTTCATTGTGAAGCTAGTTATTGATTTCAGACAATTAGGAATCCCTAACACACTAGAGTTTTTACGCCCTCAAAGGAAGAAATGAAAAAATTGTGGTCGGAGGTAGGAGATGGATAACTCAAGAAGAAAATAGTATGTTGAATCATAAGAGGAGAGCCTCGTCTTAGACGAGATTGATGCAATTTCTTTTCGAGGAAAATAACTAAGTATGGTGATAGCATTGGCTCCGAAATCAGGCACATAACAGTGCCACACCTTATTGACGAGGCGATACTATAACATGAGGACGCGGCGTTATAAAATCACGTTCCCAATACTTTAACATGAGGATGCGACGTTATAAAATCACGTTCCCAATAGACTTCAGGCAATAAGAGAAGAAAGATAACTGATTATTCTAAAACATTGCCGAAACGTAAATAAAATTGGTAGGCCGAAAATAAATCGAAAATTCGATTTTAATTTAACATGCTAGTCAACTACAGCGTTATGACAATTTTTAGTAGGGAATTGTTATTGGCACTTCAAAAATCTCATTTTACATTCCAAACTTTCTATATTTTAAAAGAAGTGAGGAGTATAGAATGAGATTTTTGGAGTGTCAATAATACTTCCTTTTTTAATATCAAATTCACTTTGTCACCACTCATCCTAGTCCACGTGTCTTACACCATCAATTCTCGTATTGTCTATTCTAAATTTCTCCGAGCTCCTACAAATGTTTCAAAAGATGCTACAAACTTGTAATGGCATCCACCCTCTTCTAATGAACACCTTTTTCAATAAACAATACGAATATATTTCCTTCTATTGATCTCACACTCACACGGATGAAAATGCAAAAAGTCCTCGCGTTTTCAACACCGTGAGATTGATCGCATCACTGATGCTCAATTATAAAAAGGGCAGTATTATCTCAGTGACGAACTTACAGAAGGGTGCATCACGGTGACCTTACTAAACAACAACCTGATGAGATCGATCAAACAATGAATAATACAATCCGTACGATCAGTTTATAGAAACAGAAGAAGCGTCACCATCATGCATTAAGATAACCAAGCTTTAGGTTTTGAAAAGAAGTGAGGATCACTTTGAGTGGCGGTGCATATAAAGGGCTGCCATCTTTAGCTTTTGAAAAGAAGTATTCATTACTTTACATAGCTAGGAAGAAATTTACGGTTTCATCGTACATGCAGATGCGAAGCTCTGAAATTTAACCTCCAGCTAATCAGGTGTTAATAGAATATAATCTCCAAAGGATACATAAGAGGCAACCTAATGAGTTTGATCAATTTTCTTTAAATTGGGTACATAGGCCTCTAATTAGTCTTTTATAAGAGAGATTGATGCATTTGATAGCTAAATGTGACTGCAACTGATAAGGTCTACTGAATTACGAAAAATACGATTAGAGAAGAAAATGAAGAAACCTGCATTAGAAGGTTAATGACGAACAAATGTTCATTAAGCCTGTACAATATAAGGAAAGTTCAACCTCTTCTAGAAATTAAACAAATGAGTAATATCCCTAATTAAGCTTAAACAAGATCTGACTTCTCCAAGGAAGTTGATCAATTGTTGTCCATTCCCAATTAACGGTATTAAAACGAAACTAGTATATTCGAACTTGCACATGTAAGATATTTCTGAAATCATAAGAACAACAACAAGACATTAGGATCACGAATGCAATAATAAAATCGACATGAAAAGGAAATAAACTTATCTGTAGAAGAGGAAGACATGATGCTAGGGTTCCAGGAAGGGTCTTCTCCACTCAAGCAGTCGTAAGTTACTTTGCTAGTGAATAGGGTTTAGCACGAAACAAGGATAATTACTGTGAGTGCAGGGACCTCCTAATATACTGATAATTATCCATGTAATTTGGCCTATCAACTAATTACATGGGATATTCCATATCAATTAGGGTATCATAATAGTCCTAAATGGTAATGAATTCTTTGTCAACTAATTAAGGTTTTCATGATTAATTGCACTAAATAAGGACTCCTAAACCTAACCAAATAAGGCTCCATAATTTTCTCAACTATTAACTCAGATTGACCAAGTTACTTGTATGTCAAAAAACGGCGAGTGCATATCCTTTGACACTCACAACCTACATGCTCCCACTTGAGTGTCCAAGAACATGATACTTACTTGGTTAGGTGGTAGGTGATCACTGAGTCCCACAAAATTTGCAACTATACCTTTAACAACTTGTCACTAGTAGTTTAAATGTTGGATTATAGAAAATAACATGTAATTGCTTCTACATGTTTACTCTATTACCACTAATATCAAATTACGAGTACAATGTTGCCTGACATCATTCGTTAAATTTAGGTTGATAAGCAAAAGATGATCAACTCCTGAACTGAGCCTCATGCAAGCATGGCTCATATTTTTCTGTCAATTTATAATGTGATAAGAGAACAAGTAAATATGACATACTATTTACAAAATTAGGACCTCTTATCAAACTTACAAACAAAACTTAAACAATAACTCTTAAAATATCAGCCACTAACACTTCAAATTTTTTAACACAAAAGGTAATCTCTTACTCCCACTGATTAACAGAAATAAAATTATATAGATAAATTATTACTCCCACTAACTAAGAGAGTGAAAAAAAAAAACTTTATAAATGTCTAAAAAAAAAAAATTAAAAAATGAAACATATACCTTTCAAATACTCCCATTAGCAAAACATAAAATTTGTGAGCTCAACATCTTTATTCTAGATATCGGTAGGGAAGTGACTCTTGTGACTGAAAATCTATACAAAATCATTTGGTCAGTTTTGTTCATCTAACATTTGACAAAAACAGAAAACTTTAACGAACCGTTTTCTAATTGCAACAAAAACATATAATTCCATAATCATCTTTGGATAGAATATGATTATATTAGGTTTTCACAACTAAAACATAAAATACAAGGGCAAACGTATATAATTTCAACACTTTTGAGCAGATGAAGTATATACAATCTTGTCAATTCCATGTTTAACCGTTCATGGATTTATATTTGGACTGAATAAGAAAACACTTTTGAGCTGATTAATTATCCATCAATAACATATAAATCACAAGTCCAATTTCTTGAACAACGAACAAGAAATAATAAGCAAAACACTTTTGAGCAGAGTACACTCATTAACCCTTCTTCAATTTCCTGCAAGATTAGTTGCATATATAACAAATAAAATATAAACAAGTATGATAATGTACGTTTTATCTACCAAAACCATGACCATTAAAAGCATGCAAAATTGATGAGTGTGAAGCCCATAATACATTATTTCTCCCACTTGGGCAAACACTCAAAATTGCAAGTTTAAACACTAGAGAAAGCGGTTTTCATATAACAAAATATAGGCTAGTTGAATCGATAAAGATCAAATACATAATTTTTTTTTTTTTTAAAGTAGGTTAGAATTAAAAGTTCAATAAAAACTTATGCAATGACTACAAATTTTATTTTATTTTAGTGTATGAGAGAAGACCCACATATGTGTCACATCCCGGCCTGGGGCAGATCACTTCCCGAGCCCGCTCCACCACCGTAGCACGATATTGTCCGCTTACCATTCCCTCACAGTTTTGTTTTTGGGAACTCACGAGCAACTTCCCAGTGGGTCACCCATCATGGGATTGCTCTAGCCCCCTTCTCGCTTAACTTCAGAGTTCCTACGGAACTCGAAGCTAATGAGTTCCCAAAAGGCCTCGTGCTAGGTAGAGATGGGAATATACATATAAGGATCACTCCCGTGGGCGATGTGTGATGTCACAATCCACCCCCCTTAGGGCCCGACGTCCTCGTCGGCACACCACGGCCAGGGTTAGGCTCTGATACCAAATTGTCACATCCCAGCCCGGGATAGATCACTTCTCGGGCCCACTCCACCACCGTAGCACGATATTGTCCGCTTTGGGCTTACCATTCCCTCACGGTTTTGTTTTTGGGAACTCATGAGCAACTTCCCAGTGGGTCACCCATTATGGGATTGCTCTAGCCCCCTTCTCGCTTAACTTCGGAGTTCCTACGGAACCCGAAGCCAGTGAGCTCCTAAAAGGCCTCGTGCTAAGTAGGGATGAGAATATACATTAAAGGATCACTCCCCTGGGCGATGTGGGATGTCACAATCCACCCCCATTAAGGGCCCGACATCCTCGTCGGCACACACACGACCAGGGTTAGGCTCTAATACCAAATTGTCACATCCCCGCCCGGGACGGATCACTTCCTAGGCCCGTCCGTCCCGGGCCCGCTCCACCACCGTAGCACGATATTGTCTGCTTTGGGCTTACCATTCCCTTACGGTTTTGTTTTTGGGAACTCACGAGCAACTTCCCAGTGGGTCACCCATCATGGGATTGCTCTAGTCCCCTTCTCGCTTAACTTCGGAGTTCCTACGGAACCCAAAACCAGTGAGCTCCCAAAAGGCCTCGTGCTAGGTAGAGATGAGAATATACATATAAGGATCACTCCCCTAGGCGATGTGGGATGTCACAATCCACCCCGCTTAGGGGCCTTACGTCCTCGTCGGCACACCACAGCCAGGGTTAGACTCTGATACCAAATTGTCACATCCCCGCCCGGGGCGGATCACTTCCCGAGCCCACTCCACCACCATAGCACGATATTGTCCGCTTTGGGCTTACCATTCCCTCACGGTTTTGCTTTTGGGAACTCACAAGCAACTTCCCAGTGGGTCACCCATCATGAGATTGCTCTAACCCCCTTCTCGCTTAACTTCGGAGTTCTTACGGAACCCAAAGCTAGTGAGCTCCCAAAATGCCTCGTGCTAGGTACTAGGTAGGGATGGGAATATACATTTAAGAATCACTCCCTTGGGCGATGTGGGATGTCACATATGTGTTAAAGATTAGGTCATAAATTAAAATGAAACCTAATAAGAGAATCCAAACTCAAAATTTATGTTTTAATTCTAAAACAAAGTCGATTAAAGTAAACACATAGATATCTCAACAACATCATTTTTTCAGCAATAATTTTAATCCAATTTAGAATTCACAGAAAATTAAGGCAAAAGATTGGCAAATTTACCTACTCATTCTCGATTCTGCAAGATTCATCATGGAAGTAGTCGAGTTGTGGAGAATCGAACCAACTCCAAATTGCATGATTGTTACACCTTTGGGCAGAAACTAATCATGCAAAGAAAATACCTGCATAGCTAGCCAAACATAAAATACACAAAATACATATAGCTTAAACAGCTTTGGCCAGATGAAAATATGTTAGAAGTATTTTATGTTGCTATAATACTAATTTATAATTGGTGAGTGATTTCCTGAAATTCCCATTGGGACAAAAGTATTCACCATATAAATTAGAATTCTGATTTTTCAAAATAATCCTTTAGAACAGTATTAAATAACCGATTCTCAAAAGATTAAATCAAACACAAGAGTATGTCATTATTAACATTGAACAATAAAATTCTCGAAAGAGGAAACATGATTATTCAGTTATTTGATAGAGACCAAAATGATCAATTAGTAAACTGATATCAGTTTCCTTTTTTCTTTTTTTTTTTCTTTTCTCAAAAGACAATGATCATCATAATCGTAATTGATGACCAAACAAAATATTGGTTTGAGCAAAATAAACCAATACATCTTTAAATCAAAATTTAATCAATGTTGTCTATAAAAGTCATCAGTATTGAGAATTTGCATAAAATAAGGACATAGTGGAACCATAAACTTGTATAATAATCGGTACCAATAGATGTGCACAAATCAGTGAAACAATATCACATAACAAAACTAGTTTTGAAGTACCAAAATTCAGCAATACTACTTTAGTTCGCAAATTCACTAAAAACTCAATTTTCTTTAGATTGTCATGAAAATTTTTAGGCATGAACTAGACATATATGGCTACTATTTCGCAAAATCTCATGATTTTTAAAATTATTAAGCGAGCCAAACATGAATTCGAAAAGAGAGGTGCTTTAGAAACTGCAGAAAATGACGGAACTGAGATTACATACTCACCAAATATTCATTGTTCATCCGATATGCATGAAAATTTTCAGACATAAAGTAAACATACAAATCTGTTAAGTCCCAAAATTTCATAATTTTTGAGAATTTACAAGTGTACTAAAAGAAAATTAGAAATGGGATGTGCTGCAGAAACGGCAAAAATTCTGCAGTACATACTGGAGACTAAATAATTCACCAAAAATTCAATTTTTCTCCAATATGCATGAAGATTTTCAGAAATGAAGTAGACATGTAAATCTATTGTCACCCAAAATTCCATGATTTTTTCGATTTTAAAAGTGGGCTAAAGATAAAATTGAAATGGAATGTGCTGCAGAAACTACATAAATTCTGCAGTATAGTCTCGAGATTAAAAAATTCACTAATAATTCATTTTCAAACCAATGCTCACGAAAATTTCCAGATTTGAAATAAATATCTCAATGTATATCATACTAAAATTTCTTGAATTTATCAATTACATAAATATATCAAAATAATATTACAAACACACTATTCTGTAGAAGTCTGCAGGCTTCCAGCAACATGATATCACACTTAAAAATTTACCATAAATCCATTTCTTGTCCAAAAAAAAAAAAGGAAATATTGCCAGCGTCTACAATCCATTCGATATTACAACATGACAAAATGTCATAATATTTGGCGTTATGAAAGTCTATTAAGCCCAGGTTATTGTCATGAATGGCTTTCCTTACGAAAATTACATCATTTATATATAATACTAAAAGTAATATTCATTGCAATAATAGAAGCGACTATCATTTCATAGAGAAATAACCAAGAACCAAAACTTACTTATTCATTTGCATATGCACTACAAGGATAAGAGTCGAAAAAAGCCAAAATTGTATTAATCCCAAATGAAAACACTATATTTGCTCAAAAACAACAAGATAGTTTTCCACTTCTCAATTATAATATCACAAAATCAATTCAGTTGAAACAAAAAGCTTAATTTCAAGTCAACCAAATTACAATAATTTATGAAAAGCAGTTTCATACCTTCGCAGGAATACCCCGAAATTTCAAGCTTCAATTCGAGCATTACAATGATTGAAGGAGGTTGGTGTAAGCTGGGCATTGATGAACAGCAACCCTCACGCGAGGGAGAAACCCTTTACTGTTCGCATGTTTTAACCTCTTTTTTTTTTTTTTTTCTAATAATCAAATAAAAACCGGTAATATTTATCAACTAAATTAATAATCAGAAAATTATATAAGAAATCAAAAAATTACCCAAGGTGAGATTAGGTCATCGTTCACCGAAAACAATAGTGACCTTGATATATATATATATATATATATATATATATATATATATTAATTATTAATTCATAATTATCAAATAGGAGTCTATAAAGTCGCATACAACAAACCTTGTTAGAGTTGTATACCTAATTTCAGTTTATCTTGATGGCCAGGTAAACGTGATAAAAAAAACTGCAAGAAAAATTTTGCAGAAAACATAAGCATGGTTATGAAAGAAAAACTTCATTGCCCAGATTCAACAATCCCTTTTTCTAGTTCTTTATTTTGGCATTAGATAGATAATTCATTTAAAGACACTTGATTCATATAACTGGAAAAATCACAACATAGATGACACGATCTTCTCGACAATACAAGGTTACATATCCATACAAGAAGAAAAAGCGCGAAAGCAAGAAAAACCCCAGAATCATATCACAAGAGCGTGATTAATCGAACCAAAACAAACCCTAATTAAATGAGAGCCAAAAAGAAAAATAATTAATTAAATTTCTTGAAAACTACTTAAAGGCAGCAGTATGCATAGTCACCACCTAGACCAGTCCATATATTATAGTCATTAGAAATCATACCAAATAGAATTATATATATCACGGCTCTCGAATCACATTGGTTGAAAAGAATTTTGAAATTAACCAATCGCAAAGAACCCCTTTATCCGAACCCTAAGCTTGTTGTGTGGCTCTGATACCACAGGTAAGATATTTTTGAAATCATAAGAACAACAAAAAGACATTAAGATCATGAATGCAATAATAAAATCAACATGAAAAGGAAATAAACTTATCTGTAGAAGAGGAACATGATGCCAGGGTTCCAGGAAGGGTTTTCTCCACTCAAGCAGTCGTAAGTTACTTTGCTAGTGAATAGGGTTTAGCACGAAACAAGGATAATTACTGTGAGTGCAGGGACCTCCTAATATACTGATAATTACCCATGTAATCCGGCCTATCAACTGATTACATGGGATATTCCATATCAATTAGGGTATCATAATAGTCCTAAATGGTAACGAATTCTTTGTCAACTAATAAGGTTTTCATGATTAATTGCACTAAATAAGGACTCCTAAACCTAACCAAATATGGCTCCATAATTTTTTCAACTATTAACTCGGATTGACCAAGTTACTTGTATGTCAAGAAACGGCGAGTACATATCCTTTGACACTCACAACTTACAACACACACAATCGCAAATTCAACTCAACAACTCCAGTATTCAAATTCAACTCCTCGGTAATATTCCCATGGTGACCCCAAGATTGGAAAATAAAGAAACGATTGATTCGCTAAGGGGGGAGATCAGTTATAAATCATCGGTAGTCAGAAGCTTGGCTGACTCTATTACAAAGGCGCTTGCAACATCCACAAAAAATGTAATCGCGCTACGCATGGAATTTGTGGACAAGTGATACTTGGTAATGACCGAAGAACTTTCTTGTGGCCGTGTTCAGGCAACAAAGAGAGCATACAAAGTACTGTGTTGGCTTGACATTGTGATCAATTTGCAATACAAGGTTCTTGCAATGAGATTCAGCCGCGTTGTGGGGAAGTAACAACATTTCTCTACATGCACTGACCGCAACTCACGTACGTCAATTTCCTTCACACCTGAATACAAATTGTTCATGCATCCTTTTTTATCCTTTCATATTCCAAAGGCGTAATCGAGTATGATTACAAATTAATGTGATTTAAATCTAAAATGGGCAACCAATATTTTTATCAAAAGATTCGAATTACTACTGATATGTGTTACAAAATATGTAAAATACGAAGATAATAACGATAATAACAACAACTAAATCTTATCTCATTAAATTTATTTTTTTATATAAATTCTAAAATTTCATTACGATAAAATAAAAAGAGTAGGCATAAAATATAGTGCAACAGCACAAATTCCAAATTACATTATAACTAAAAATAAAGGTAGCAATTCAAAGTGCCTTTTTCGGTAAAGTCGCTAAAGTAAGGACGGGGGTAATGAAAACACAAAGACTCAAAACCAAACAAACGTCTCTCTCTCTCTCTGTTCACTCTCTGTAAAACAACCAAACGGAGACTCTCCGTTAACCAACAGCAAAAGTGATCCTCTGATCGTGAGCTTCCTGTCTATGTAAGTGGGTTTTTTCAATTTTAACTTTTACATTTGAGGTTCAAGATCCTAATTCGATTTAAACTTGCATGCTGAAGACTTGGTTCGTGGTTGTGTTTGGGAGATTTGTTTCGTGGGCTGTAAGAAAGTGGTTCAAATTGTTGGATTTGGGTAAGAACCCTATAAAGCTGAACCGTAATTGTAGCCATCTTTCGATTTCTAAGTGCTGGGCTTGATTTCTGTGTGTTTTTTTATGTGAATTATTTGGAGGTGGTGAGTTTATATTGGAAAGTTTCGAACTTTTTCGCTGGAATTTAAGTGGGTAAAAGTGTATGAGGAATTGGTTAGAAGAGATTGTAAGTGTATCAGATATGGGTTTTTTTAAACAGCATCATATCCGAATTTGTGTTTCTTTTTTGGATTTGAGTTTATATATTTTCAGATCTGAGTTATTATTTATATATTTTCATGATCCCGAGTTTCATTTTTTATTTTTTATTTTTTATTTGTACGCTCTTCCACTAAGACCACTAGATCAAGTGATTTCGACTTTTGAAATTTCATCTAACGGTCCATTTTTGTTTTGATTTTTTAAAAGCTATAATAATTTTTTTACCTTTGAATAAAATTTCAAAGGTCCGAATCATTTAATCCAGTAGCCTTGGTGGAAGAGATCTGGAGATGATCTCTTCTCTTTATTAATATTTAACTGATAGGGCACAATTACAAAAATTGTTGGGAAAGTCATCTGACAAGGTTGCACAATATTTTATAATGCTGACATGAGAATTATACTAAATTCATAAGATGACAGAATCCATATAAAGTCTTCCTAGCATTTCTCTTGTGCTTAACTCTTGGAGCACAAAACGTCATATTGTGCCCCTATGAACAATGCATGCCTGCACAGGACCCAAATAATATTTTAGTTCCTGCAGTGTTGCCATATAGGACACATATATTGGTGTCCTTAAGGCTTGAGCCTCGTATGGCACCATTAACTTTTCGTTTGCAGTGCCCATATTTTGTAGTGGCACCGAACAATGAGCTATGTAGAAAACTTCCAAATTTCTTATTTGTGATGAAGATAGTATGAGTTTTCTTCCTTTAGTATTTATCTCATTGAATTCATATATAAGTTAGGCTTCATTTCTTTTTAGCGTATAAGCTCTTGTCCTTGCAAAGTGGTAGTCTCAAATCATTCAATCCAAAATAATCTTGCGAGGTGGGAATTCAGAGGTTAGTGATGTGAACTATTTTGATCTACAAGTGTGCTTGATTTGTTATTTTTCGTTACAACTGTATAAGATGTAGTGTCCCACATCGCCCAGAGGAGAGGATCCTCTATGCCTTATATGTACATGCTCACCTCCCATTGCAAGGATGCGTTTTGGGAACTCACTGGCTCTGGATCCCATAAGAACTCCGAAGTTAGGTGAGTTTGGGCTAGAGTAGTCCTCGGATGGGTGACCCTCTGGGAAGTTCTCGTGCCGAAATCCAAGAACAAATCCGTGAGGGCATGACCCAAAGCGGACAATATCTTGCTATGCGGATTGGGATGTGACATAAGAGTTAGAGAGTTAAGCGGAAATAAACATAAACAGAAGAGACCGTTTCCCCCAAGATTGGTTGATTGGTGATCCTGACTTGAAGTGGGTTCAAAAGATCAACCATATTGAGTTTTCACTATCATTTTTTTATGTATTAGCATAACGGGGGATTGAGCAAAAACGAGTGGATGGTTAGAAACACGAACATATGTAAAGGATTAGTAAATCCGACGTGATAAAATGTCTAATCTTGATTGTATATATCATGGTTTGCTGAAAATTTCTTTGGAGGATTGATCCCTTTTTTATTTATTTTTTAGTATAATTCTAGATGACTCACTTGCATTTTCTTGTGGTAGTTGGTTATTATTATTTGAATCTCTATTTCCTGAGCAGGGATTTAATCCTAATTCACAAGTATTCATTTCTTGTTCAAAAAAAAAAAAAGAAAAAAAAAAGGTAATTCTGTCATTTGCTGTTGGATTTGAATAGAGGAATGATACTTATTCCAGTTCATTATTATTCCTTGCAGTCCATGGAAGAAATATCTGAAAACCAAATTAGCTTGAAGGTGTTGGTGAACAATTTGACCAACAAAGTCATTTTCGCTGAGTGTGATAATGATTTCATTGATGTTCTCTTCAGTTTCTTGACAATTCCTATGGGAACAATTGTTAGGCTTTCCCATCATTCGCAATCCTTTGGAATTGGTTGCATTGACAACTTATTTGGAAGTGTTGAGAGTCTTGATTTACAGCTTTTTCGAACTAAAGAATGTCGAGAAATGTTGTTACATCCCCGCAATGAAGCTGAGGATCTTTTGAGGAACCTGAAATTGAAATATGATCAATGTGAGCCCCCGCGGTACTTTAAGTGTTCTAAACGATATTGCCACAATTCAGGTTCTGCACAAAGCCTTAGTTATTATGAAACTGTTCGTTGTTGTTGTGGGGGTCTGATGAACACAGAGACCATTTTTACAACGAAAGAAGCTGAAGGTGGTGGGGTTTTTGTGGAAGGACCAGGGAGGTTTATTATTAGTGATGATTTACAGGTACTCCCTCCATTTACTTGTGCAGTATCTTCTTTAGTTTCAAACCATGGACTCATGGGCTGGAATAGCGTTGAGGAGCTGACTTTTAATGTGGGAGTTGATGAGGTAAATGATGATGTGTCTGACGTGTATTGCCAAGTTAAAATTTTCAATTCGAACTAAAATTCTGGTTTCTGATCCTTCACTTTTTGTTTATTTTTTGTTTTCCAGGTTTTGAATTTGCTTATGCGCTCATTAGTGTCAAAGACACCTCTGATTGAAACTCTGCTGAAGGATAAAACCATACCAAACATGATTGACGAAAACCTTGACCAAGATTTATGCATTGAATATCGAGAGGTGGGAGGAAAAAAGAATGAGGAAGAAGAAAAGATTTCTATTAAGCTTGTAGTTAGCAAATCTAAGGAGAAGGTTTACTATGCCGAAGTGGGGGAGGATTTTGTTAATTTACTCTTCAGTTTCTTGACCCTTCCACTTGGGTTTGTAGTAAAACAAATGCAACATAACTCTTTGAAAGGTTGCATTGACCAGCTGTACAGAAGTGTTCAAGATCTTGATGAGCAGTACTTAAAGTCAAATTTACACAAGAAAAACTTGGTGAGTCCGAAGCTTCTCCCCGGATTTGGCTACAAGAATCATCTTCTGGGAATTGAGGAAGCATCGTATAAATGGAAAGACTTCGTAAACTTGAAATTCCATCATAAAAAAGATGATAAAGGTTGTGGATTCTTGAAAGGACCGACGATGTTCATGGTAACTGACAGTCTCAATGTAAGTCCGATATCTGCAATTGTCGGCATGTCAATTCTATGCGAACTGAACATACCTGTGACTGATGTTGAGGTACGAGTGGCTCATGTGGGGAAAGAGGAGGTGAGTCATACCATAAACTCTTCTAATCAAAACACTGGTCTATTGAAAGTGATTCTTTATTTGAGTCTATACATCTCGTTCCAAGGTTGATGCTTTAGACATGTTTCTCACTGCAGGCTATCCGTCTTTTGGTGGCATCTTTTGTTTGCCCCTCTGCTCTAACTAGTGTCTTCCTTACGAAGCCAAAGCGATTTGGAGATTTATTAGGGTGCCTACGTTTTCTAATTTAAGAAGAGTATGCATTTTCTGTCACAAATTTATGTACCTTTTTTGGTGCACTATCATCGTTTTGTGTTATATGACCTATAATTTGTGCTGTTTCTAGCATAACTATGTAAGGGTTGGATCTTGCTATTTTCAGATAATATTCCTGTTTTTTTCTTTTCGTGTCTTGCTTTCATTGTGCTAGTTACTGATTTCAGACAATTAGGAATCCCTAACACGCTAGGTTTTTTAAGCCCTTGAAGGAAGAAATGAAAAAATTGTGATCGGAGGTAGGAGATGGATAACTCAAGAAGAAAAGAGTGTTGAATCGTACGAGGAGAGCCTCTAAGACGAGATTTTTGCAGTTTCAATTTCTTTCCGAGTAAAAAAACGAGTATGGTGATAGCATTCGCTCTTCTTTGGTTTTCACTTTCTTCTTGCTCTAATGCATATGCCTTGTCATGCTCCAAAATCAGGTACGTGACAGTGCCATGCCTTATTAGAAGAAAGAAAGCTGTTTATTTTTAAATACTGCGGAAACGTAAGTAAAGTTGGTAGCTCGAATACATCGAAAAATCGATTTTAATTTAAATACTATTTTAGGTAAAGCAAATTCTTATTTTAAATACTATTTTTGGTAAAGCAAATTCACTTTGTTGCCACTCGTCCTAGTTCATGTGTCTTACACCGTTACTTATCTTGTTGTCCGTTATATATTCACTCGTGCTCCTCAAAATGTCCGAAAGATGCTACAAACACGTAATGACATCCACCATCTTCTTATGAACACCTATTTAGGTAAACACTACAAATATATTTTCCAAAAATTTCCTTCTTCCTTGATAACAAATTCCTCCAGTCTCACACCCAAGGCTCCAACTAAGTGTGACAAAGTTTTATCTGAAAATGGCTTGAACTAACTAATGTTACTAATTCATGATTGGCAGAAATCCGTAAGAATATATTTTCCAAAAATTTCCTTCTTCCTTGATAACAAATTCCTCCAGTCTCACACCCAAGGCTCCAACTAAGTGTGTGAAATCCCGTTCCTGGATTTCATTGTTATAATCTACGTATTTTTATTATTGAGATTTTATATTATTTCTCGAGAATTTATTTTAAGTTGTTTGAATTTAGATTTTAACTAAACTAGTTATAGAGTGAAGTTTGGAAAATTATTATTTACTAGTTGACCTTTTGAGGTTACAAGTAACATTTCTGAATAGAGCTCGATCCCACGAACGCATAGACAAAAGCTGTTTGCGAATCCGGATTATAAAGGTATAGTTACAAACGTTTGAAGTTGTGATACTATAGATTTTAGGAATTAATTAATTCCCACTTTGTGGGTAAGAGGCCAATAAGATATTTGGGTTAAGGGGCCAATTAGTTAAAAGGAGGAGGGGACAAATTAGATTTTGGGGGGTGGAAAATGGATAGGCAGCAGCAAATAGAAAGGAAAAAAAAAAAAGGTGGGGAGGGACCTCCCTCTTCCTGTCGACCACACCCATGACAAAATCGGTTTCGATCCGGTTCTAATTTTGGCCAATTTCTGTCATTTTTCAGGGAAAATTCACCCATCCAACACTTGAAAACTACTCCATAACCTCCCCTTTACCATCTCCACCCAAATTTGAGGGTTTTTAGGCCCAAAATCATGAGGAACTCCACCGGAGCACCGGAGGTGCTCGACGGCGATTCCGTCGTTCCGATGAGTTTCACCACCCACCACCACCCTTAATCAACTCCCCTTGGACCCAAGAACAAGACCCAATAGGTTGTAGGGGCGTTGGAACACCAAGGAAGTCGAATTGAAGAACACCCACCTTAGGGTTCCCGGCGGTTCGTGGCCAGTTTGGGGTGTTTTCGGCCAAATTGGCCTTGGCCGCAGGTATAAAGTTTACTCTACTTGTTGAGATCTTCATTCTTGTAAAATTTGAGAATTTTTGGAAAAAATCGAATTTCCCGTTGTGTGACATTCGATTCATGAAAATGATGTTGGTTGAATATATTATCGTTAAGGTCTGCCGCTTGATTATTCTAACAATTGACGATCTTACCATTGAATTGACACTAAATTTTAGTATGCTATGGTAGATATTGTTTAAGGACCTTAGGAACTTACTAGTGAAAATCTAGTGATTGGATCTTACGGAGCAAGTGACGTAAGATCATGGACCCTGCCTCAGAACGACGATTCGATCCCTCATTAAATGTTGTTGTGGGAGATATATGAGAGTTTTTGAGTATGTAATATGGTTATTACCTTGATTTCTTATATTGGTATCATCTGTGAATATGACTTGGTTTTATAATGTGATTAATATTGAAATGTGATTATATATTTAGCCATAGACCTATGTTATTAAACATGATTTGGCTTGTGTACTGATGATGATCGGGATATGCGATTGACGTGCATATTCGAAAGGTGGTTGATTTGCATAGATGGTATGATATGATGAAATATGAGTGACTTTAATATATGTGAATATGAAATGGTTTTATAATTATGTTTCCTATAAATTGTTAATTTTTACATTTAGCCATCGATGTAGTTATATGAAGTGGGATTTGACATGCTTATTGGGAATATGGTTTGTTTTGTATGATTGGCTTGATTTAATGAAAGGTGAGGGCTAGTAGTGGACCATTAACTCATTGTCATGGGATTTGTTGCTTCGAAACATGTGTCAGCGCTTATGTCATTATTTCATTCTCGTTCGTTGAGTCTTCGTAACTTAAGTAACTTGATTCATGTGTTGTTTCATTGATTGGTTGTTATGCATTGTGCTCCATGATTCCGTTAAGTGGTCCGGGATCCTTCCTACTCCACTCCGTGATTCTGTTGAGTGACGATCCAAAATCGTATCCTGGTTTGGATTCCGCTGAGTGATGATCCGGGATCGAATCCCCCTTGGATTTCATTGAGTTTGGATTAAGATAGCTTCAAGGATGTAGGCTTCAGCCGAACTGTGTCGCTCTAACCCTACTTTTCATTGTGTGTATGAGAATATGGTTATGAGATGTTGTGATTGTTTCAGACGAACCGTTGGATGATTGGGTGACTTCCTCGGAGTTTTCAAAAGTTTGGTATTGATTTCTTATGAATGATTTATATTCAAGGTTTATAAATTGTGATTGATGGCTGATTTTATTATTGTATCACATGCTTATATTATTGTCACTCTCCCGAGCCTCGCAGCTTATATGAGTGCCTGATTTGCCAGTGCACCAATCCCATAATGTAGGCATTGACTTTACATATGACAGGTCTGGGTATATTATGAGAAACCGCTTGATATTTTGGTTCCGTTGAATGGTCCAGAACCCGATATTGTTGGATTTCGTTGAGTGGTCCGGAATCCTTGCTCTTGTTCATTTCCTTAAGGTGATCTTAGAATTCTAAATTCGAGTGGATGGGAATTAACCACAATAGATATTGTGAATATAAATTGGAATTACCATGTTTATTACTCATAATTCAAGTGGGAAATTATATAGAGTTCCTTGGTTAATTCGTGAAATGTTTTGTTATCATTGCTTAATTAACATAATTAAATGCTAAGATTGTGCATCTTGATTCACGAATTGATTAATTGACGGGATTGTGGAATGACGTTGGATATGAGTATTGTTATTATGATTATTTTAGTTGATTAATATTTCTAGAGAATAATATTGTGCTTTATTAATTCTTTAATATGTTACACGCTATGAATTGTGATTTTATGTGGGAACATGATGATTTATGTGATGGATTAAGTGGAAATGTTATTCGTCTTGTGGGATTATTATGTTGGATATCATTGTTATGGTTATGCCTAGACTTATTGATAAATATGGCAAGAGAATATGATTGTACTTCATCGTTTGTTCTTTGAAGGATTGCATGATATATATTGTGATATTTTGTTGGGACATAACAATTTATGTGATGAATGTTCGAGTATAGTGAAATGGTGAACCACGTATGGCTTGATCCCTAATGAGGGTACATAGGCAGTTTAACAAGGAGGTTAGATGCAGCCATAAAGTATACAAAAAAATTTACTATGAGATTTGATTCTCGAGTTGTGATTTGCCATATCCCGGAGATGGGTATGTTAAATATACGAGTATTAAGTGATGTCGCGTGTCGATCCAGAATGTATGTCGGGATCGGAGCGTGACAAAGTTTTATCTGAAAATGGTTTGAACTAACTAATGTTACTAATTCATGATTGGTAGAAATCCGTAACGAGCTTCACAATGATAACAACACACACACACAAAAAGCAATAATTAAATAAAAGAAACCCAAAATTAAGTCATAAGCATATAACACAAAAAATATGAAAGTTCAAAGGAAGACGCATAAATTTGTAAAAATAAAGTGCATGATCTCCTCTTAAATTAGAAAACCAAGGCATCCCAGTTCTCCATCTCGCTTTGGCTTCGCAAGGAAGGCACTAGTTAGAGCAGCGTCGCAAACAAAAGAAGCCACCAAAAGACGGAACGCCTGCGTTCAGAAACATGTCTAAAGGTTCAACATTTGAAAATTTTCCAAAACAAAGTTTTGATAAAAAGAGTTTATTGTCTGAAAACTCACCTCTTCCGCGCCCACATGAGCAACTCGTACCTCAACGTCAGTGACAGGAACATTCATTTCGCGTAGTATCGACATGCCAAGAATTGCAGATATTGGACTCACATTGAGATTGTCAGTTACCATGAACATCTCTGGTCCTTTTTAACATCTTCATTGTCATGCGATTTGGGGTCTACGAAGTCAATCACTTTCGCGGGCACGCCAGATATATCTTTATACGAGGATTCCCCAATTCCCAAAGGATGATTCTCATAGCCATATTTAGGGGGAAGCTCCGGACTCAGCAACATTTTCTTGTGGAGATATGACTTCAAGTACTGCTCATCAAGATCGCGGACACCTCTGTAAAGCTGGTCATTGCAACCTTTCATAGAGTTATTTTGCATCTGTTTTACTATAAATCCTAGTGGTAGAGTCAAGAAACTGAAGATAAGTTAACGAAATCCACCCCGGCTTGTGCATAACAAACCTCCTTAGATTTGCTCACTATAAGCTTGATAGGAATCTTTTGTTCTTCCTTATTCATTTTGTCCTCCACCTTTTGAGATTCAATGTGTATTTCTTCTATCAAGATATTCGATGCTCACGTTTGGAACGGTTTTATCCTTCAGGAGAGTATCGGACAGAGGTGTCTTTGATACTAATGGGCACATAAGCACATTCAAAACCTGGAAGAGAAAAACAAAACAAAAGTGAAGGGTCAGAAACCGGCATTCAGTTCAAAAATTCAACTTGGCATAACATGTCAAGACATGATTTACCTCATCGGCTCCTACATCAAAAGTCAGCTCCTCTACAGTATTCCAGTCCGCAAATCCATTTAACCCAACTAAAGAAGAGATTGCAGAAGTAAATGGGGGCAGCACTTGTAAATCATCACTAATTATAAATCTGGCTGGTCCTTTAACAAAAATCCCACCACCCTCGGTTTCTTTCCTTTTAAATGTGATCTCCACATTCATCATACCCTTATACCAACAACAAACAGTTTCGTAATAACTATAGCTTTGTGTAGGACTGCGACAAGATTCATTAGAACACTTAAAGTACCGGGAGGGCTCGAATTGATCGTATTTCAGTTTCAGGTTCATCAAAAGATCTTCAGCTCTACTGCGGGGATGTAGCAACATGTCTCGACATTCTGCTGTTCGAAAAAGCTGTAAATCAAGATTTTCAACACTTCCATATAAATTGTCCATGCAACCAATTCTTAAGGGTTGTGAACGATTGGAAAGCCTAACAATTTTTCCCATGGGCTTTGTCAAGAAACTGAGGAGAACATTGTTGGAGTTTGAGACCCTCTTGTCCCACATTGGTCAACAATATTTTTTCACTAGCTTTTATATAGACTTATTCTTTTTTCTTAGTAATTAGAACTTAGACCATTTGGAAATGGATTGAAGGCTTGATGATTATACTATAATATTAATATTAATTAATCAAGACAAGGGCCTTGGGCAGTAAACACACAAAGCAATTCGCTAGACTTCTATAATCCAGTGCGGGTTGTAGAATTAGGTAGTTGTATCCTGGTCGAGCAGACGTTTTAGAACCACAAGCACACGAGTGGGACGGAAATACTTCGCTAGACTTCTATAATCCAGTGCGGATTGTAGAATTAGGTAGTTGTATCCTGGTCGAGCAGACGTTTTAGAACCACAAGCACACGAGTGGGACGGAAATACTTCGCTAGACTTCTATAATCCAGTGCGGGTTGTAGAATTAGGTAGTTGTATCCTGGTCGAGCAGACGTTTTAGAACCACAAGCACACAAGTGGGACGGAAATACTGTTCAAAGGACATAGCGTTTGCGCTAGCCTACCTTCAATTCATTCAAGTTAGTATCATATTAATTTTTTGTAATTATTGTGTTATTACATTCTGTATTGCAAGTATTTTTGAATAATAAAGTATAAGTATTTCGGTTCTGTATTTTTGTTATTTTATTGTTTCTAAATTGTTCTCTAACAAACATCAATAAAATCACTATCACACTCTGCAAAGATGACTTTGTTGGTCAAATTGTTCACCAAGACCTTCAAGCTAATTTTGTTCATAGATTTTTCTCCCATGGTCTGCATGAAACAATAATAAACTGAATGAGTGAGTTGTTATTATTAAACTTCTGCTTTATAAAAAGAGATTCTAAATAAGCATCAACTACCAAGATAGACATACGCAATCCCTTTTTCTCCTCCTTCTCCATGTTTTTATTGCCTTGGGATTGAATAAATCAAAGAAGAATCAATGGACAAAAACAAGTCGGAGGAGTGCAGAAGGACAAACAGGAGTGAAAATCACTACCATAAATATAACGATTTGTGATAGATGGTCAAGAAGAACACTATAAATTCAATGAAGCACTTTCACAAAAAGAAATTTCAGAAAACCAAGATAAGTAACATGCATGATCAAGATATACATTTCATCAAGATAGTTCTTCACTAACCTCTGAACTCCCAAAATTGTTCCTGTTGATTGTTTGAGAAATATTTGAAGAAGAAGCCTGAATTATATATATATATATATATATATATGAATTTTTAGATGAAAGGAATTTGGTAAAGAATAAAACTCATATTATGATCCAACATTATCACATTGACTAGATAGATATTCCTCTCGTAATCCAAACTATGATCCAACATACAATTGCATTTGATTTATAAATGGACTAAATAAAAATTAATTATACGTACAATTGTTTTTTTATTTGAGCGATATTTAGTCTAATCTAAATTGTATTTTTTGAAACCGTAGATGACCATATACATACATGAGATATACGCCTTTTGGATTTGGTGACTATCCTAAATCCGATTGTGTGTGAATAATTTATAGGTAAATTACACTTTCATACCTCAGGTTTGGGGTCTATTTCAATTCGTTGTAGCATCTTTAAAACATTTCAATTTCATACATTAAGTACTATTTTATTTCAAAATAATCCCTCCATTACATTTTCCATCCATTGATCCGTTAAGTGCTGACGTGACTACCACATATATGCCACGTGGCTGCCAAATGTATGTCACAAGGCAAATAAAATATTTTTTTTATTTTTTATTTTTTAAAACCTGAATTTTCTCAAAAAAATAAAAAAAATATTGAAATAGACCGCATCCCATCTCCTCGCAACCTCCCCCACAAACCCATAACCCTTTGTCCCCATCCACACTCGCCTAGCTCGTCTTCCCCCTTCCTCCCGGCGACCCACCTAAGCCAGAACCCCGACCCTCCTTCCACCCGCACCCCCCACAGCGCGACCCACCTTGATGTCTCCCCCCCCTGGCTACCTCACCTTGCTTCCCTCCCCCTCGGCGACCTAACTCCTTGCATCTAACCTCGCCCAAAACTCAGATCCTGACTCGGCCGACCCACTTTGCCTAGAACCCAACCCCCACCCCCCTCTCATCTGCAACACCCACCCTCTTCTCCTTCCCCCATCCGTGCCCTGCCCCTTATTTTCCAGCAGCTATCTTCCTCGAACCAACACCCCCGTCTTCTCCCTGAACCGACACCCCTTATTCTTCCCCATTACTTGTATTGAAAAGAATTTTTGCCTTGATTTTGTTGCTCCAGCAAACCCCCATCAAAACAAAAATTTTCTAAAATCTCTATCTCAGCAAGGTCTTCAAATCCATCAAACAACCTTAAAAATTCAAAACAAAAGAAACCCATAAGCAAAGATCTTTTTGTCCCTGCAGACCGAGATTTTTGGGTTCAATCTGCCAGCGAGATTTTTTACACTTCCCCTAGATAAAAACCATAAATACTAAGAACCCAATTGCAATTCATACGCGAAAATAGACAATTGATGCTTCAAGTTAGTTTCCTTTTACTTTTTTGTTTTTGTTTTTTCAGATGAGAATCTAACAAAAGGCGAGGAAGAAAATAATGGGGAATTGGGTTGAAGATCCGATAACAAATGCGGCGGCTATGAGGCGGTGGGCTGTTTCAATTTAGAAGATTTCTCGTGCCCTTTTTCGCTGGAAATCATGGCTCGAACAAAACCCTGACCTCAAAATAAACAAAAAGACCGAATTAATCACAAAGGAGGAAGATGAATCTTTAATTTCGAAGGAGGGAGAAAGTGAGAAAGATGAATCTTTTGATTTTGAAGAAGGGAGAAAGACATGTGTAAACTAAAGATAACAAGAAGTCAACCTAAGATAATGGTTTTACCGGCAGAGAGGTAATTGCAACGGTCGTTCGTCTTCCCCTTGAGGTTGTACACCGTCGATTTGACGTCCCTGGAGACTTTGAGCGGCTGGAGGCAGTTGGCGAAGAGGAGAGTGCACTAATCGGCATCAATATCGGAGAAGATGGTGGAAAATCAATCGCGCCGTTGAGGGATTTGAAGGTGTAGACAAGCTTGACGAGGGTGGAATCGAGGGCGTAGCGGATTCGCCCTCCTCGAGTTGCTGGAAGAAGATGTAGATCCAGGAACCCTGGGTTCAGAGGAAGAACCCACGGTGGCTGAGCCCCCCATCACTTTTACGAGACATGCCTATGTTTACCCTGGGTTTTAGGGTTTTTTTTTTTTTTTTAAGATTCAGGTGGTTTTTTTTAATTAAAAAATTATTATTTTTGCCATGTTGGCAGCCACGTCAACACTTAGTGGATTAATGGATGGAAAATGTAACGGATGTATTATTTTGAAATAAAATAGTACTTAAGGTATGAAATTGAAATGTTTTGAAGATGTTGTAAGGAATTGAAATAGATCCCAAACCTGTTATATGAAAGTGTAATTTACTCATAATTTATTTTTTCTACTGGACGTATTTTGATAATGATGAACAAATTTAATTGAATTGGAGTCCGGATGGGAAAGAGTATGGAGTGATAAGTTGGAGCTAGGGTTTCTTCTCACAACAAAAGGTGTTTCCCAATAGGCGCCAGAAACCACGTTTCCCACTATAATAGGCGCACCACCTCGAGATGGCCTAATAGTTGAGGTAGAAATCTATACCAATATTCCACATGAATTCTTAACACTACCATGACGGTAGCCATGAGCTAGTTCTTTTTTTTTTTTTTTTGGAAAAAATTAAAAAAGTCTAATCTAAATTACCGAGAGGGTACTCGGACTTGGGTATAAGGAGAAAAGCTAATTAGGAACAAAGAAGAACAAAACCAAAGACTGAGGAGGAAAATTAAATTGAAAACGAACAATCCAAATCCAGTTTTTGAAATTTAGAAGGCTAATTAGAAACAAAGAGCCTTCCATACCAGTAAAAGTGCTGCAAACTGTAGCACATTGCAAACTGATCCCCAGATCAATCAGCTCACCACAACTACTGCAACGAATTCGCAAACACTTCCATGACTACTAAAGGATTCAGATGCGTTGCGGGGAGACGACAACATGGGCCATTCCTTAGTTCGGAAATGCTGTAGTCTGTAGATCAATATTTTGAACACTTCAACTGACTTCCATTGGTAGTGATTCTAGTGAATTGCTACAGGAAAGGCTAACAATTGTTCACAGATGCATTCTACGGGATTTCCTACTTTCCAGGATCAAATTAACAAGAAACTTCAGAACATTATACAAGTTAGAGCAATAATTAACCAACTAGACATAAAATCCATAACAAATATTCATATATTCAGTGCATACAGCAAAACATCTACTCGAACTTGTCATGTCTACGACAAAAGATACATCATCTTCCAAATTAGATAAACAAGCAACCATGATCCTCATTGTTCTTGATCTGTCATCCTAGAGAAACCAGTTAGAGGTGAATCAAAACAAAGGGCAGCTACCAAAAGACACACAGCCTGCAGGAAGAAACAAAAAAAAAAAATAATCAACTAATAAATGAGACATAAAATGTCACAATAGAAAACCATGCCACCTTCAACAGTTCATAAAGAATTTGAAAAGATGAAGGAAGGGCAATGGATCGGAGTTTACAAACAAGTGAGTTGATGCACAAAGGTTGTGTATTGGCAAGTCTATGGAGAGATAAATGTTTACAATTCCAAACACAATTGAAAACCAAGGGTTCATTAAGTAAACTAGAAATTGCAAAATCGTAACTCACCTCCACCTTGCCAAGATTCACAGTTTGCACTTCAATGTCAGTGATCGGCACATTCAATTGCTTCAGAATGGACAAGCCAAACATTGGTGATAGGGGTCGTACGATCAGGTTATCAGTTACCATGAACATCACTGGATCTTTCAAGAATCCATCAACACATCCATCCACACATCCATCAACACATCCATCTTCATGATAGGGAGATTTGGGGTCAACAAAAATTGGTGTTTCTGATTTTATAGGGGTGTATATGGTGGCTTCTTCAATCCCGAAAGGATAGTTAGCATAGCTAAAACCGTGGGCAAGCTTGGGATTAAGCAGCATTGTTCTGTGGTCAATTGACTTCAGGTATTTCCCATCAATATCTTCCACACTCTTGTACAAGTTATCGATACATCCTGTCCAACAAGAATCATCCGCCATCTGCTTTAGTATAAACCCAAGTGGAACAGCAAGGAAACTGAAAAGAAGATTAACAAAATCCGCCCCTGCTTCTGCATAACAAACCCTCTTAGTAGATTTGCTAATTATAAGGTTAACAACAACGTTTGTTTCGGTATCATTGGTGCCTCTAGCCACTTTAGAAATTATAGATATTTTTTGCTCACGTGCTTTATTGATATCAACCAACTGGGATTCCGGTTTAGGCTTCAGCAGAGTTTCAGTAAATGGTGTCTTCAAGACTAACGAACCCATTAGCAGACTCACAACCTAGCAAAAGACAAAGATCAGAAACCAACCTGGCGTTTCAGTTCTAAAAAGATTAGATAATTTGTCAATATTGACCTATAATTACCTCATCAACTCCTACATTGAATGTCAGCTCTTCGATATCATTTAGATCCACGACTCCACACTTCGAAAGATAAGAAGAGAACGCAGAAGTAAACGGGAGCATCACTTGTAAATCATCACTAATTATAAATTTGTCTAGTCCGTCCACAAAAACCCCACCAACTCGACCGCCTTTTACTAAAAAATTGACCCCCAGATCCATCAGCTTGCCGCAACCACAGCAAGGAACACTTGCATAATAACTAAAACTGTTTCTATAGAAGGTGCAACACGGGTTATCGCACAAGTAATGCATGGGCTCACTATCATCAATTTTCAATTTGAGGCACCTTAAAAGGGATTCAGCAGCATTGCGAGGATGCAACAACATGGCACGACATTCTTCGGTTTTCAAAAGCTGTAGATCAATATTCTCGACACTTTCATATAAATTGTTCATGCAACCGACTCGCATTGGAGGCAAATGACTGTCGGAAAGCCCAACAATTGTCCCCATAGGCATTGTCAAGAAACTAAAGAGAACATCAACAAAATAATTATCTGACTCTACGAAGAGAACTCTGTTACTGTCCTTGTGCACAATTGCCTTCAAGCTAAAACTGTTCGGAGATTGAGCGGCCATGGATGCGAAACGGAGCTGATTATTTAAATGTTGTTTCCCTGCTCCAAACTTGAATATAAAGTCAAGGTGAAAATCCATAACACATAATATAACATACAGAGAAGCAATTTCCGATAAAACATTTAAAAATAGCTCAACAACATTACAAGTAAATTCTATCAAATTTGGGCCGAATATAATTCTATCTTCATCACTTTGTCATTTCTCAACCAAATTGAATGATTCGAGAACCAAAATCATACCTTGGAACGAGACGAACAGATTGGTTCCCTTCACAATGGCTAACTCGCCTGGGTTTGGACGGAAAATAGTCGGAAAGTCGTCGGAAAGGAAATTCAATGCGAGGCTGCTTGTTCTGGGTTCGCGAGGACGAGAAGAAGCTGGTGGTGTACTTGGTTTGCCGGGAGGACTGTGCACCGTGTGTTCACAGTGCTCTGCACAGTGACAGCGGGAGAGAGAGCGCGAGGGAGGAGAGACAGGTCTGCGTGGAAAACAGAGACAATGAGTGGAAAACAGAGAAAACGAAGGAGAGTGGAAGGACGGAAAAAGGAAAAGGAAAAGGGAAAGGAAAAAGGAAGAGAAAGGTATTGGTTGGGAGAAACTTTTTCAAAAGACAGCTCGATATAACAATTATCATAAAATAATTTGTTAAATTTTTTTTTTGAAGTGTTCAACAAATTGTATTATTGTACTTAGTATATCGAGCTGTATTTTTAACATATTGAAAATTTTCTTGTCGGTAAGAACTTCTCAAGAGAAAGCCTCGGTTAATACCAAAAACGTGGACCTCACACCAATCTTTAATAATTGAGATCCCTCGTACAATCTTGTAATTTTATTATACAAATTCCGAATCCAATGTCGTCTTCACCCTTGTTCACTTGCTCTAATAGTGAAGAGTACAACTCGAATAAATGAATTATCATTAATTTAAAGGACGCAGTATAACAATATTGGGATCAAAAGCAAAAAGAAAAGAAAAAAAAAATCCGACCTCAGATCAAAAGAATGAGCACTATCAATTTAATTGATTTGCTAATATAGCCGATGGTAGTCAATGGTAGTCAATGACTAGATGGAAGATTTGATATTAAAAATATTTTGATACATATAATTTGATAGCCAAAATGTCGTCACTAAGTTCAAAAGACAGCAGAATCCACGAGCAATATCGCTAGAATACCAAAATATATAGATAATAATTTTGCAACCCCAAAAGGAGGGCATACAACAGTATTGAAAAACTAGAAACAATATTGTATCATTTACTGGTCCGATCAATTCCAGTTTGCAGAAACGAAAGCATCATCATCTTCCAGATATCGGATGACCTAGCTCAAGTCATTGCTCTTTGTCCTTGGCTGCCTAAGGAAGACATGGTGAGAGCAGAGCCACAGAAGAAACGAAGTCACCAAAAGATGAACAGCCTGCAGCAAGTAACAATACAAGAGAGAAACAACAATTAGAACAGTACAGTAACACCATATAAAAATGGGAGACTTTAGATGTGGTCCTTAGCTATGAATATTCTTTGATTGAAACCTTGTTAGTTTTTAATTTTTGATCGAGGTCCCTGAAATTAATGTGATAATTTATTTCTATGCACGTTACTATATTTTTTAAATTAAAAAGTAGAAATTCTAGTTGTTTATATAAATGAGATTTTAAATAAAAAATCATATTTTGTGGGATTAAAAATATTAAAATATAAATGTATATATATAAACATGGGTACATTCATCAAAATTAACCAAAAAAATTATTGTATCAAAACCTGGGTATATTCTTCAAAATCACAAAACAAAAGAAGATATTACGCTTAATAACATTAGTAAATTTCTTCGGTTAAACTTGACATGGATACATTTTAAAATCAAAGAGAAAAGAATTAATGTACCCATATAAGTTTAAAAATGGATTAGAAAAAAATTGAATAGATTTTATATAAATAAAAAAAAAGTTACATTTTACATATAACAAATTGGTATATTTAAGAATGAGTACGTTTTAAGATAAAAAAGTTTTACATGAATGGGTACTTATAATTAGCATGGGTACATTTTGCAAAATAAAAAGTACAAATAAAAAAAAATATGGGTACAAATACAAATAAACTTTAAAAAATATGGGCACAGAAAGAAATTAATATATGGGTACAAATTAAAACTAAAAAGAAAATTGGTACAAATTAAAAATGGGTACAAACTAAAACTAAAAATATATGATAAAAAAATTTAGTCATAAATATAAATATAGTAATTGTAACATTTTTAACATTAAATGAATGCATTTAGAAATAAAAAAATATTTTATTATTGAAATAATTAATGATGTTATTAATACACAAGGACCTTGATCAAAAATTGAAAATTAATATAATTTTAATCAATGTAGCAGCAAAAAGAAGGATGATAACCTAATTTCTCCTATAAAAATACTTTGAAGCTTAAAAACTAGAAGCAAAAAAATTAAATGAACAGTTTTGATATCTCAAGCGTGAAGTGTAAATGAATCTAAAAATCGAGAACAAAAATCGAGAACTAACCTCCTCCTTGCCAACATGAACAGTTTGGGACTCGATGTCAGAGAAAGGTACCTGCAATTCGTTTAGAACAGAAACGTCAACGAGGGGAGACAGAGGCCTGACTAACACTGTCAGTTTCCATAAACATTGACGATCCAGTTACAAATCCAAGCCGAGAAGAACACCAGGACTCGGAGTAGTTAAGTTTAAGGTTAACAACTTTCGCAGGTGTCTAATAAGAGATACTACTTGAATAAGTTGACATCACATCCTTTCTTGTAGCACTATGTTAATATCTATTCGGATCCCAAACTGTTAATAAACATATAGGCCAAATCAAACCAGAATCAAAGTGTAATAGAGTTCGGTCCAACATTACACTTTCAATAACTAAATTTTTCGAATTTTTTTTAATCGGCTGTTTGGCCATTCCAAGAAATTAGGATGACACGTTATTCACTTCCGATGAGAAAATCAAGAAACAAAGTAGACATGAGTTACACTAGTTAGCTGTTCAGTATGTTAATATCAATTTGGAATTTCGTTCGAGTAACCAGTCCTAATGATAATATATTATCATGTAAAAGAAAACTTACAAATTTAGAATTGGTGCCTGAATCTTCACATTAGTTTACAATTTGTCCTTGAAATTATCAAAATTTGCACCACTATGCCTGTAATAAACTTTTGTCAAAAATTTAGTTAGTTTGATGATGTGGCACATATGTGCGTCACATATTTCGAATTCTAAATATTTGTTAAACGACTAAATATAAACTATGATGAAAGTTTAGGACCAAATCTAAACTTGGATGAAGAATTGAAGAGTAATCATGGATCCCATTATGATATCAGATTGTTGTTATGGTAGTGCCGATATGACGTCATTGGACACAATCGGGGCATGCACAACTCATGCACAAAATCTATGCGCAAGAGAGAAAATTTGAAGCGCACACAATATCCTTTTAAAATGTTTTGAAAAAAAGTAGACATAGTTAAATTTATCTAAATATCTTCATCAAGTCCTTGAAAAACATCAAACGTTCATGATGTCGGATGAAAATGAATCTTTGACTTGTTTGTAAACAAGATTATCATTGTATCAGTGTGAGGGTAGTATTGAAAAGTATGTGAGGTTTATTAAAATAGATTTTGATTTAAAAAAATAGATGTACAATCTTTAAGAATGTAGGGTGCCGTCAACAAAAATGAGGTCTCGCATCCGATTTCTATCCAGTAATTAAGATGAATATAGTATGAATTATTTTATCTTCTATTAAAAAATTGAATTTGGACCAAAAATGAACTTGTGTAAGGACCAATTCTAATTTTTTTATATTTTTAAAGAAAAAAGTTAATATGACCCCAAACAAGTTACTGAGAACATTAGATTACTTGCATGTTTTTTTTTTTTTTTTTTGATATCTTGGCCTCATATTTTTCTGAAGTTAAATTTTCTTGCTGATATCATTAGTTGCTTTGGTCACCTCATTTGCGATGCTATATTTGGATAGGTCTTTATTAACTATTACTAGAAATGTTTTTTTCTTCGATTGTTCTAGATGCAGTTGTCACTGAAGGTTTTTCTTATTGAATAAATTTAGCAACGATGTTATTCATATATTTATTTTTAAATCTAACACCTTATTTTTATTTTTTGCACACCAATTTTATTTTCGGTCTTCTAAATGTATGTGTAAAATCTATCTTGAAGTTATATTTCCATTTTAAAAAAGGGACTTAAGCAACACTTGTTGTATAAGCGCCGTCTTCTTGCTCTGCGTTTCCGTTCGCACTTAAGCAATAGCATTTCTCTTGTGCCCAGCGACTCTATGCGTTTCTCGACCAATCCCCGCCAACTGTAATCCCACTCGATTTCTGCCCTTCCTTTCCCTTCACGCACAACATTTCGTTCATGAAAACCCTAAGATTTATTCTATTTTTTTCAATTTTCCTAATTTCTTTTTTACAGGTTTAAGCTGGGCTAGGGTTTTAAGGTCTCGAATCGAATTGGTAGACATTAGAGAAACTCCCAGGTACCGGAATTCCTTTCTTTACAATGTTTGGCTGCTGAGAAAGTTTGGGAATTGGAAATTTATAAACGAAAGTTTAAAACTTTTTGTATAATTGTTGAATTTAATCTGTTTGGACTTGTGAAAGTTGAAACCGCACTGATCTGAATCTGAAAACGAACAAAAACTCGAATTTTGATTATTTTCAGACTGCCTTCTTCGTACGCGTCGAAAGGTTTGGGATTCTCGTTGTTTTTTGTTTAATGCGATTTTCTAATTATTACCAAATGCTAATAGAGTGATGGGTACATTTTGTATTTGCATTTATGCCTCCCTGTTTTATGCGTTTGGTCATTTTTTCGGTCATAGGATTTGTTGTATGATTTTGAAGTTAGTAAGTCATGAATGGTTATGGAAAAATGATTGTTTCTTTATCTTCAAAAAGGGCTCACCATTTTTGTGCTCATTCGGGTTTATAGCGTTGATGCACTAGGATTTGAAGCTGAATTGGTAGAGCGGCATGGGATTTGATAATGAGTGCATATTGAATATCCAGTCTCTTGCTGGAGAGTACTTTTGTCCAGTTTGTCGTCTGCTTGTTTACCCAAATGAAGCGCTACAGTCGCAATGTACTCATCTCTACTGCAAGCCCTGTTTGACATACGTTGTGAGCACCACCCAGGCTTGCCCATATGACGGCTACTTAGTTACAGAAGCAGATGCCAAGGTCCTTCCTTATACAACCTTGGTTGTAGCAAAATCTTTAATCTTCTTCTTTGTCTGTTTATTGATAAACCTTGACACAATCAATGCAGCCACTTACTGAGTCAAATAAGGCCCTCGCTGAAACCATTGGAAAAATACCAGTTCATTGCCTTTTCCACAGGAGTGGATGCACATGGCAGGGACCATTATCCGAGTGCACACCTCATTGTTCTGGATGTGCCTTTGGAAATTCTCCTGTAGTATGCAACAGGTGTGGAGTCCAAATTGTACATCGTCAAGTGCAGGAACATGGGCAAACTTGCTCTGTAAGTATTTTCATTTGTTTTTTTTTTTTTTTCAACCGTTTGGAATTGAGACTATTTAATTTTTATGGTTATCTTTCAATTACAGGGTGTCCAGCCAGCGCAGCAGGCACAGAGTGCTCTAGACACTTCAGCTTCTGGCACATCAGCAGCTACTGCTGATCAAACCCAGGCCGCGATTCAAACAGGAATAACTACATCTCAGGCCTTGGTTTCTCAAACTACAACTGCACCTGGATCTGATCCAACTCAGGAACAAAACTCAAGTTCTCAATCTCAAGCGGCTGTGCTGTCTGCTGACCAATGGTACCAACAGCAGCAACAATATCAACAGTACTACCAGCAGTATCCTGGATATGACCCATATCAACAGCAATATCAGAACTACTATCCATATCAACAGCCAGCGGTTCCACAATCACTGCAGGCTCAGCCACCATATGGGACTGTTCAGAATCAACCTCGGACATACTTGCAACCCCAGCCCCAAACTCAACTTTCGCTACAGCCTCAAATTTCTCAAGCTCAAGTTCAACCAACACCCCAAATTCAACCTCCAAATGTCCAGGCTCCTATTGCGGCTCAAACTCAAAATCAGGTACAAGCCAACCAACAGCAGCAAGTCCACCGTACAGTGCAGACATACCCAGCAGCTCATGGGCAGCAACAGCCATATTACCAAGCTCCGCCCCATTCACAACCTCATCCTCAACAGGTGCAAGTGCCTCCGTATCAGCAGCCCCAAATTCAGCAACATACCCAGGCCCAGCTCCACCCACAGCACCATTCCCATTCTCAGTCTCAACCTCAGCCACAGGCACAGGCTCAACACCAACCCCAACTTCACCCTTCTCAGCCCATGAATGCTGCTGTCCAGCCTCAGGCACATCCATCATCTCATGCTGTGTCTGGAAATAACTCGTATCCCCCACCTCACCTTTATCAACCAGTGCAGTCAGGAGCCCCACAACAACACACCATGCACGTGCAATCTCAAGGCATGCCTCACTCTCAGTTACAGACTCATGTTCAAGTACAGGGTCAGTTCCCTCAACAACTACCACTTGTGCGGCCACCCTCGTCTCTTACAACAATTCCAAACCAGCAGCAGCCCGCTTTGTTGCCTTCACCTGGTCAAGTCCAAAACATCAAACCTGCACAACAGCAGCCAGTTCCCTCTTATGCTCAGCAACCTGGAAATTTGGTCTACCAGCGCCCGCTTATGCAGGCAATTCAACAACCGATGCTTCAGCAATATTTCCATCATCAGCCATATGTACAGCAGCAACCATCTACACAGTTACGTCCCCAAGGCCAATCTCATTCATTCCCTGAACATAATCATGCCTCTACGCAGTCTCAGCAGAACATTGCATTGTCTCAGGGCATTCAACATACTCAGTCTAATCTTGTAGGAAGGCCTATGATGCCAAGTCATGCAGTACAACCTCAGCCCTACACACAAACTGCTGGCCAAGTGAGGCCAGTGCATCCTTCTGTAAACCATCCATCTACAGATCAGAATAATATGGTCAGAACAAACAACCCAGTGCAATCTGGAGCAAACTCGAGGCCAACTATGTCTGAAAGGCAAACTGAGAAAGAATCTGAGTCATCAAATCAGAAGGTTGCAAATGGCGGCAAACTTAAATCTGTCAAATCCGAGGTGGGTATGAAGTCCGCTGATGATGAGCATAAACCTAGTGGTGAAGATAAACCTAATCAGGGGGATACATCTTCTAAGGATATTCCAGAATCTAGGGGCTTGCTGGGGGCAGATCCAGATTTCCATGCACTTGAAAATGGAGAGTTTGTAGGTAACCCAACATTGAAGGAAGAGGGTGGAGATAGTACTATGGAGCACTCAAGTAACGGTAAGTTGGGCGAAGCTGTAGCTGAGGGTGCAAAAGAAATCTTATCGGAAGAAGCTCAACTTCGTGAAGAACAGGGTCGAAGGTTGCAGAAGGATGAGGGTTTGCAAGCTGTATCTACTTCAGCTCCAACTGGTCAGGTACAAGCTGGTGGCTCTGCACAACCCTCACATCCTGTACCAATACATCATGGACCTACTATACTCCCCCAAAGGCCTGGTGCACCCCCTCCAGGACCTCCACATCATACACAGGGGCCTGGGCACCCCTGGACTCATTTAAGACCTCAGGGACCTGCACATGTACCCGGACAACCTTTTCATCCATCCGAGCATTTGCGGCCACCCGGTGCCAACCAAGGTTTTGGACCATCCTCTGGAAGGGGGGGAGGTCAGTATGGTCCTCAAGGTGTACTACCTCCTTCCCATACAGGGGCTCCCAGGATGCAAGGTGAACCTGTTGGAGGCCCTCCATTTGGTGGAATGATGGCAAGAGCAGCACCATATGGCCCTGACGGTCCTAGGAGTCACCAGCGGCCTGCCTTTCAAATTGATCAGGGAGCAATTGGACAGCCATCTGGAATCCCCCCGAATATGTTGAGAATGAATGGAACTCCAGGCCTTGACCCCTCATCAACTCATGGGTTGAGGGATGAAAGGTTCAAGGCTTTTCCGGACGAGCGATTGAATCCCTTCCCAGTAGATCCAACTTTTTGTGGTGTTGACCGGGTAGAGTATGAAGATGATCTCAAGCGATTCCCTAGGCCTTCGTATCTGGATTCTGACCCCGTTTCAAAATTTGGGAATTATTCATCAAGGCCCTTTGATAGGGGACCTCATGGGCCCAAGTATGATATTGGTCAGAATACAGATCCTGCTGCTGGAGATATTGGGAGAATGGAGCCTTCACGCAGTCATCCAGATTTTGTTGGACGACGCCTTATGGATGGTTTGGCTCCCCAAAGCCCAGTTAGAGATTACCCTGGCATCCCATCTCATGGGTTTAGAGGCTTTGGCCCTGATGATTTTGATAGAAGGGAATTTCGTCGGTTTGGTGATCCACATGGAAATTCATTCCGTGAGGGTAGGCTTTCTAATTTTCCTGGTCATTTTCGTCGGGGTGAGTGTGAGGGCCCTAGTAATATGCAAACTGTTGATGGGCACCTTGGTCATCTTCGGAGGGGAGATCATTTGGGTCCTCAGAACTTGCATAGTCATTTGCATTTGCGAGAACCTATGGGTTTTGGTGATCGTCATTCACGCCTAGGAGATATGACTGGGCCTGGGAAGTTTGAATCATTTCGAGGCAACAGGCCAAGTCATCCACGTCCTGGTGAACCTGGATTTAGGAGCAGCTTTTCACTTCAAAGATTTCCAACTGATGGAGCTTACACAGTTAAGTATTACTTCAAGTATCTGTATGTGTTAAGTGATGCTCTTCTGTTCTCGTTGTTACTACAGCTTCCATTGTGATATTTTATTGTATTTGATTTATGGTCCAATTTTTCGATGCTGTTTATATCTTCAGGGAGATCTAGAGTCTTTTGATCAATCAAGGAAAAGGAAACCAGCTAGTATGGGATGGTGCCGGATATGTAAAGTTGATTGTGAAACAGTTGAAGGCTTGGACTTGCATTCACAAACAAGGGAACACCAGAAGATGGCGATGGAAATGGTGCGAAGCATCAAGCAGAATGCCAAAAAGCAGAAATTGTAAGTTCTTTGAGCACATCATAGTTACTTATTGGCTTTTGATAAAAGAAAAAAAGTTACTGATTCGCTTCATATTTGATTTTAATTATAACATTATCATTATTTTCAATCTTTGTCTAAGAAGTCCGATGCTTCATTTTTTTTCTTTTTGTTCATTTTGTAGAACCTCTGGTGATCAGGCCTTGGTAGAGGATGCAAATAAGTCAAAAAGTCCGACTTTGAAGGCCGAGGAGAAAAGCATTGATGGATGATCATGTGCTGCAATGTGGATCTCTTTGATTGCATTTCACTTGGGGACCAATTGTTTCTTTGGTATTATTGCGTTAGCAATATAGGTGATGCACCCTTCCATGCCTCTTTTTTCTAGATTCGGGGTGGTTTATGCTAGTTTTGTCATTTCAGGTTGCTGCCATGTTAATGGAGATGGTATTTGGAACTGGAGTTCAATGGCAGTTAAGTTTGTTGTTTTTGACTCTCAAGTTTTCTACTTTCACTCGGATTGTTTTTTGTTGACCTTGTCATTGTCAATCCAAAAGTGGTATATTGCTATCACTTCCTTTTGCATTTGGTACTATTGAGATGGCATTGGTTTATAGCATATGTGTATGTATGCTTGACTCTCTTACTCTTATATATTAAGTTTATTCAACTGGACCGGCAATGTATTAAGTTTAGTTTTACTGCTCTCAGATATGTACTTATGGTTATAAAGGGTATCATTGTTAAATAGCTCTCAAAAGGTCGAAACAAGGACATTACCTTGAACATTGAAGCTAATTTAAACTAGGCATTTTTCTTTATGCTCTAGGTAACTTTGTGAATTTTACATTATTGTCAATCGTTTCATTTCGGTTTCTACAAGAATATCTGTTTTAAATGTAAGGAGACTTGCGCTCTCTGACCTGCTTCATCATTTCTATTGTAGGCAACTTTTAGTATAGTATGATATTGTGTAATCAACCTGATCCTTGGTCTTCAATCTAGTAGAGATTGGACCGACCACATTAAGCAGATTAGTTATCACTAACATTTCGTCACAATTTTACCCAATAAGTTGGAAGTGTTAAAGTAGTTTTTGCTAAAAGATGAGGATTTCTGTAAAGCGAATGAACTTTGGGTGAAATAAGTGTCTATCTCTATTCTGTAGTACCACAGTAGGCTTCAAGACTAAATATTTAAAGTGTATAGGCTTATAGAAGGCAATGACTGGAGTACATTTTACTATTTAGATTATACAGGATTTTGCACGCTGATTTCTAAGAAAAAGTGATAGAAGCCATGATAAATCATATATCCTAGTCTTTTCTTTTTTATAGTAGTTAGCAGAGACGGCCTCGTGATATTGCTTGTTGGACTACAGCATCTATTATATTATTTACTGTTTTGGTGGCTTGTGAATCGACATTTATTTGGAGGATATTTTGTTTAGCTGATAAACTGTAGTGACAAGTATTTGGAATATCGTGAACCTAATTGAAGAATCTGGTCTGCATAATTCATCTGTATATTATTCTGCAGCTTGGTCTTGTGCTAGTTGGTGTAGGACAGAAGCGGAAGCTACTGTCCGTTTGCTGTAGCACAGCAAAACACACTAGGGAATAGAGAAGAATATTGATCACCAAACAACATCAAAACAACAGAGAAAACAATGAGATCCTTAAAAAGATGGAAAGATTACTGTCTAATTTTCGGAATAACAGACCAGCATGAAAAGTCTCGTAAGGGTAGATATATTAGGGTTAGATACATCTTCCTAGCCTTGATTACTTCACTATTCAATTAGGCCTCCGAAACTTACTTACAAACTCACAAAACTAGTGCCCGACTTTATATAAAAGACAAATTAAAAAGACTAGGAGTAGAAGCACTACTATCATCTAGAAATCAACATAAGACATAAAGATAAAACAAGTCAAATAAAAGGTAAAGTGAATACCTAAACCAAGTTGGCTAGCCTTTTAATCTTGGAAAGCCGTGTAGATCTTATCTTATTAGTTTTATGTTTGGGGAAAGGCTTACAATTTCATAAGTTCAGTTTTTTTATCGTTATTGTTATTTGTTTTACTACTGACTTGACTATTTATTCTTAACACTGTCATGTAATTTTTAGCGTGAAAGGTCGATTTTGTTGTTGATTTTTCTTTTTGGTGGAATTTCTCTTTTTCTATACTAGATCTTTTCAATTCAACCCGTCTTTTTTTGGCGAAGAAGACTCCATAAGGGCTGAAAGTTTAGCAGAAAAAGGTTTACTCTGTCATCTGTTTTTGAGGTGGTAAGGTTGTGTTCAATGTACAGATTTTATTTAGTTGGCAAAATTTGCTTCTCAGCATTGATTTTATAACCTGTTGATATGTTGGGATTCATCTGTTTCTACATATTTACGAAGAGTATATTTTCATCTTTCGAAGCAGCAGGATAAATCTTAGGAAACCTTAGGAGACTGGTAAAATCTGATTACCTTCTATACACTAGGCATGTATTTAGATCCTAACTTTAAAGGGCCACAGGCTTACATTTAAAGATGTCCACTTGGATTGTTAGGGTTAGGGATCCCGACTCATCTATTATTTTGCATCAGGACAGTTTGATGGATAGTTTTCTTTGTATTACGATCCCTCCTGAAATATTTTTCAAATATAAAAGTTCAGTAGCTTCCCCCGAATTAGTGAATTAGGCAGGATCCTTTTGTACAGAATAACAAATATATAGAATAACAACGCAAAGAGCGAGTCAGGATAGTTTTCTTTATATTACCAATAACCCTGCCATTGGCGGGCAGCACCCCAAGCACACCACATTCTTAATGCTTGTCTTATACGTTCACTAACAATAAATTTTATTTTGTTTGTTGCCGACTTTTGAATGAATTTTGCAATTATTGTCCCCTTGGGGTATGGCAAACACTTCCTATCAATTTTCCATGCGTATAATTTTAGGTTCATGTTGAAGTTTTGAGGCAGCCTTGCCAGTTGAACTCGAATATTTTTGTTTTTATTTTTTATTTTGGTAGCAATATTCTTGTCTATTTTAATACCTGTACAAGTCTCTCTCGCTCTCTCTCGCTCTTTCACACAAACACAAAACTTAGACAATACATCTTTTCACTCTCACCTACCACTTTAATTTTCTTGTTTTCCATCAAAGTTTGGGAGGTTTAGGAAGGGAAGAAATGGCATGTTTTGTCCTTCTCTTTCCTACTTTCGATTGTGAATGCAGTACACCAAATCTTAGTTTTGTTCAACAGTATTACCATGATTTCTATGAGTAACTTTAGGCACGATTCAAACCCTGAATTCTTTATATTATTGCACGTAATAATATCTACCTAATACTAAACCTTCCCTTGTATAATCCAGAATATAGCAACTTAAATACTAAAACACAACTTCGGAAATCGCTTAGAAAATTTATCCTTGCTTTTAACAACTGTTCTTGCTCTAGATGCTTTAGCCTGTACATGAACATAAGCACCGAAATGTTTGAATTTGATTGATTCTGTCAGCTGTGTTTGAAGTATAATCGCAGTTGAACTAATACTTGTCTCGGAAATGCACTTCTTTGCTTAAAAATCTATGACGGGGCCGTACAGGAACAAGAATAACACCCTGATGCGGTCATAGTAGGCTTACAAAGGAACAAGAATAACATAAAAGAATAATACGAATAATGGCGGAAAACCTGGTTATTTTGTTCGATAATTCCTAACGAGCTTAAATGTTTGATAAAGATTGCAGTGTGGTGCAGGGATTATAGCATGATTGCAGAGTCAATGTATGATGCTTGCTTACTGTTTTGTTCTAGTGCTGGCTTATTCTCAAAGCGTGTTTGTGTGGAAGCGGTAGATCTGACGGTTATTTGGGCGATGGAGACTCCTTACCTTACAAACTTCAATGCCTTTGAAGGCATTTTGCTTGATCTGCGTTTTGTTTTGCAGTGATGGGTATATGGTATGGTTGTAAGCTTTAATTGTTTGATTTTCTCAGACATTCTTGGGCATGCTATATTAATATTTTGTTTTAAATGCACTTCTATTTACTTCCTTTGCTTATTCTTTTAAGACTGACCGAAGATTATTAAACCAGAACATCACGTGATGTTGAACCTATTTTCTATTTTATGCAAGTTAATCTCGTCGTCTGAGATATTTTAGGTGTAAAGTAATCTTCTTCATTGTATTTAAACTCAAAATTGTTGGCGTCCTGTGAAAGACCTTTTAATCTTAAACCATTGAAGTTAGGTAATTGATGAATGACCGTTGCGTGATGTGTTGGAGTAATCTAAGTCCGAGTTCAAAAAATTCTCCGATATAATAAAAAAAATTTAAACTTGAGATTCCGCAAAAGGTTTTTGGTTCACCTTGCAACGGATGTTCCAAATTCAATTTCGCATTCCACAATATGTGTACAAAGTCAAGGTCTTAAGTTCAAATTTCTTATTCGCTCAAAATATCTTCATCAAACCTGAAAGAGAATAAAAAATTAGTTTTCTTCCGAAATCAGAGGTTAAAAAGTCGGGGTCAAGATTCGACCACACGCAATGCCAGACCCCGCGCGTTGTACCAGATCACGAATAACCTTTTGTCCAGAGGAGCTCGAGGGTCGACAGCCTTTTATTAACTTCACGAACCACATCAGATGACATCGATCCACCACCAGAAGTCCAGGGGTAATTCCGTCATTTCATAATTCCGGATCCATAAACCAGTGGGCCATACCGTATCCAGCTGTATCCGTAATTCTAAATTCAAAATCTTCGTTTTAGGCTCTAAAATTTAAACAGTTTTTACACCCATCAAATTACGCGGCGCCCATCCAGCCGTTGATTCTCCCGATCCCGGTTAATTTAAACGGCCAGTGAAAATCTCAAAAATATAAAATATAAAAAAAATTAGCAAAGAGCCGTTATAGCGTACACCTCACTCCCCTCTATATATCCTCCCTCTCAATCACTCGCTCCCTCATTCTCCGCCGCTGCGCCTTTCTCTCTATAAAACTTCCTCTCTCTCTCTGTCTCTCTCTTTGTCTCTCTCTAGATCTGCCGATCTGATCTGCCGTGAACCCTAGAACCGAAAATGCGTGAGATCCTTCACATCCAGGGAGGCCAATGCGGCAACCAGATCGGTGCTAAGTTCTGGGAGGTGGTGTGCGCGGAGCACGGCATCGACTCCACCGGCCGCTACCACGGCGACTCCGAGCTCCAGCTTGAGCGGGTTAATGTCTACTACAACGAGGCCAGCGGCGGCCGGTATGTTCCTCGCGCCGTGCTCATGGATCTGGAGCCTGGAACCATGGACAGCATCAGATCTGGGCCGTACGGCCAGATCTTCCGCCCTGACAACTTCGTTTTCGGTCAATCGGGTGCTGGGAACAACTGGGCCAAGGGTCATTACACCGAGGGCGCAGAGTTGATCGATTCTGTTCTCGATGTGGTTCGTAAGGAGGCGGAGAATTGCGACTGCTTGCAAGGTATGTGTAAACTCTGAAATGATTAAACCCTAACTGTAATTTGTGAGATTTAGAGATTGGGGGTTTCATTTCTGTGTTGGTTAAGCCCTAATTTACTGAATTGAAGAAAACCTAATTGTATTTTGTGAGAGTGAGATTGGGGGCTTTCATTTGTGGGTCGATGGTCGATTGAACCCTAATTTTGATTTTTCTGGTGTTGCAGGGTTTCAGGTGTGCCATTCGTTGGGTGGTGGTACTGGATCTGGGATGGGAACGCTTCTGATCTCGAAGATCAGGGAGGAGTACCCAGATCGGATGATGATGACTTTCTCTGTGTTCCCATCTCCCAAGGTCTCAGATACTGTCGTGGAGCCTTACAATGCTACTCTTTCGGTCCATCAGCTTGTGGAGAATGCTGATGAGTGCATGGTTCTTGACAATGAAGCCCTCTATGATATTTGCTTCCGCACACTTAAGCTCACCACACCCAGCTGTAAGTTGGCTCAGATCTATCTTCTTAGTTGTTTGGTTGAGAATCAATTTTCTGCAAGTGTTTGTATGCTTATGCATCTTGATTTGCTCTAGAAATTTGACTATGGTTATTGTTCTCTGTTGAATGATTGATTGTTGCGTGATTTGAATGTCTAATCGTGTTTTGCTTTTGAGTTTGTGCACTATGTGATATATTTGGTTTCATATTTATTGTTGAGTAATGCGTCCTCATCCATTTCTTAAGAAAAATGAGTTTTGGTGATGAACGAATCTGTCTAAATTTTGTGAAAGTAAAGTGAGGTGTGATTTGGTTTTGAAGTGAAAATGAGGTTTCATGCTTTCAAAGCTTGAATTTGATTTCAAGGGAAAATGCGATTTGGTGAGCACTATTGAATGTTCACTGCTTCTTTCATTGTTTATTGTTGGGTTCTGAAAGCATGATTTGTTGTTTATGTGCGAAGCATATAGTACTATATTTGAACTATTTACGCATTGATCATTGATGTGTGCTTCCTGAAAAGACTATGAAAGCTGATTTCTGTTTTCGTCTTTGATGTTTGCAGTTGGTGATTTGAATCATTTGATCTCTGCAACAATGTCTGGAGTTACCTGCTGCCTGAGGTTTCCTGGACAGCTCAACTCTGATCTGCGCAAGCTTGCTGTCAACCTGATCCCCTTCCCCCGTCTCCACTTTTTCATGGTGGGCTTTGCTCCTCTTACTTCACGTGGCTCTCAGCAGTACCGGGCCCTGACTGTTCCAGAGCTGACACAGCAAATGTGGGACTCCAAGAACATGATGTGTGCTGCTGATCCCCGACATGGACGTTACCTAACAGCATCAGCCATGTTCCGTGGTAAGATGAGCACCAAGGAAGTGGATGACCAGATGATGAATGTGCAGAACAAGAACTCTTCCTACTTTGTTGAGTGGATCCCCAACAATGTCAAGTCAACTGTCTGTGACATCCCACCAACCGGTCTTAAGATGGCATCGACCTTCATCGGGAACTCAACATCCATCCAGGAGATGTTCAGGAGAGTGAGCGAGCAGTTCACTGCCATGTTCAGGAGGAAGGCTTTCTTGCATTGGTACACTGGTGAAGGCATGGACGAGATGGAGTTCACTGAAGCTGAGAGCAACATGAATGATCTTGTGTCCGAGTACCAGCAGTACCAAGATGCAACAGCTGATGAGGAGGAATACGAGGATGAGCAGCAAGAGTACGAGGAGGAAATGTAATTTCTATCATCAAAGCTTAGTGCCGTTTGCAGTTTAGTGCGTTTGCATGTGAATGAATGAATTTCCGGTTGAGAGAGAGATTGATGGACGAGTTTTAATATCAACTTCCAGTTGCTGCTCTGTGCTGTAACTTTCTTATTTTCGACATTATGGATTTGCGGTAGTGATGATATATTTGCTTTTCTAGCATTTGTTAATTGCTTGTCGCACTCCTCTCTGCAGTAGTATTAGTAGTCTCATGGTTTTGGCATACCATCGACGATAAGCGGGGATATTTCCCTCTTTTTGACAATATGGAAACTACTTGTAGCATTCAGAAGCTTAATCTTTATGGGGCTATATCTCTCTCCGGAGCGCTCTTACGGATACATTACTTCCTTCTTTAATGAGGCGTTGCAACAACCTAATAAAAAAAAGGTGTTTTAAACATTTCTGGTACTGTTTATTTTTAACGAAAAATCATATTTATATCTTTTCTTGGTACTATTCATTATACAAAAAGAATTTTTCATTAAAAGGGAAGTTTTTTTAGATTTTTCGTTAATTTTCCTTAAAAAAAAAGAATTAAGGGCCTCGAACAACTTGATAAATTAAAAACAAAAATGTAGGGTACCCAAAGATTCATGGTAAACTTCGGTCGGAGTTTACCATGAATGTTGTTGGTAAGCTCGGATCCAGCTGCACGATGTTGGCAATGGTTCAAAATTCGAATTCACCCCGCCGTTGAAGATATCCAAGCGTTACCGAGCGCATATCTATGGCCTCTCTTTCTCGTTGTTTAATCAAATCTGTCATCTCTGCTTTCGGTTCGACTTCTTTCTCCCTTCTCAAAGTATCCCCTCATGTGGTAGTCACCATACCACTGTTCCTTTTGCAACAGTGTGTACACTCTTCATATCTCTCACATGCTAGTCACATGACTGCTTATGACAAGGAGAATTTTGTATACACTATACACTCATTAGTTTGTGCTTACACTCATCGCATGTAAGAAATAATAATTTTATTGCAATGTTAAATGGGGGTCTTACATTTAAATGGTTATTAGACCGTATCGAAAATTTTATAAATTCGATTGGGTACGTATTATCTTTGTTATCAATGAATATCGTACATTTTTCTCAAAAATCCCTAAATTTGAAGGGTTTGTTCAAGAGGAAAGTCAACAAATGTTTTTGGACCCCAATCCTAGTTTGAATTCCCAAGGATACATTATATAGGGTCACCAGCTCTGTTTTGGGACTATCATTTGACCTAGATGCCAAACGTATGTTGCCACCTTATGTGAACTTGAACTGCATGGGGAAAGGATTAAGGGTGGGGTGCTCTACTAAACTGAGTAGTATAGAATGTGCTTAATACAACTTCACACAACTCTGTGAACAGATTGCAACACCTTTACCACCCGTTTTAAGTTCCCTCAAGCGAATATCCGTTTTAATGCTCCACTCGTTTACAAGCTCACACTACTAAACTCAGCTGACAAAGAAATTAATCTGCCATTAATGTGGGATATCTCCTACAAAAATATTACTGTCTGATGATATTCCTCTTCACTTGGAAGTGAGAGGTCTTAGCTTCGAATCTCATGGATGGAGAATTCGATATCAAATTAGGCTATCCATTGTATGACTTAGGCCAACTCCTCCTCCTCTCAGTGTAAAAATATCAATGTGCTCAACCCAAAAAAAAAAAAAAAAACTCACCTAAGGAAATAGGGGTATTTTAACAATTCAAGAAAACTCGCGAGGTCATTCCGTAATAACCACAAGCCTCTCAAACGAGTTCCGCCTCCCCAGCAAAACACAACTTACCCAAAAGCAGCCGAGAACGGAGAGAGTGAGAAAGCCGAACCGGAAAATGGCGAGCGGTCTTGCAAACAGAGCATTAACGGATCGAACCGGAGGCCTGTGGAGGCTCACATCGAGCTTCCTCAGAAGCTTTAGCACTGCTTCCCAAAACCCAACTTCCGCCGCCGCTTCTCCTTCTTCGGCTTCAAAGAAACCCAAGCGGAAGAAGAAGAAGAACCTGTTCGAGGTGGCCCAGTTTCTTCCCAGCTGGGGATTGGGGTACCAAATGGCTAAGACCCACTGGGTCGGCGTCTCTTACCAGATTACCAAAATCAATCTTTACAAGGTATTGATTGCTATCAATTTTTTCCAGATTTTGTTGCGGTTTTTGCTCTGTTTGGTTACTGGGAAAATGTGGGAAATGATTACAAAGTTGGGATTTCTTTTACCCTAAACTTTTACATTTGATTTGATTGCTAATACAAAATGAGGGGATGTTAATTCATATTTCCTTTTTATTGTTTGTTGTTATCATTGTGTCAGGGGTTTAATGGTTTAGGGTTTATGAGGTTTTTAATTTTTCAGGATGGTAGACATGGCAAGGCATGGGGAATCGTTCATAAGGGAGGTCAGTGTTCAGCTTTACATTTCATGGAATTTGAACTTTTTCGTGTTCTCGGTTCAGTTGAGTTTCATTTGTACCTGGGTTTACTTAAATGGGTTTACTGATCTGATCGATATTGGTGTTCTGACAAGTTGTTGATATCGTTGTTATGTATCACGGTGATCCAAAACATGTAACCTTTTCTTCTGTTTACATGATTTTGGGTGCATTCTGAGAAGAATGATCGTCTTCATTCATTTGAAAATGGAACACCCTGAATGGTTGGTAGTTATTTGTGTTGTTTAGTTTGTATCCAGAACGCTTCCCTGGTCACAGTATTTTTCTTTGCGACTGAACATGCAGCCTAATTTGAGTTATAATTAATAAGTGAGAACTGTGTAAGGGATTCGGGATATTGACTCTCTTTACACCTCCACTATGCGCTTGCATATACAAACATAATGCATCTGTACAACCTGCGTATATGAATATGAGGTTCCTTTTTGTTACAGAGTCTCGATCCTCTATTTGTTTGTCATTTATGTATTTAGTACTAATTCTTTAGAGTTCTGTGTTAGACCTGTAGTTGTGAGTCTTGTGAGTCAGGACTACTAAGCTAATAATAGTTGATTATTTTATGGGTTAGTTTTGTAGATTTTATGTTACTCTTTTATATGAAAATTAATGTGGTAGAATTTGTTGCAGGCTTGCCAGCTGCAGATGCCCCCAAGAAAATAAGTGGAGTCCACAAGCGTGGTTGGAGATACATTCCCAACTCAAAGACTGAAATTGTTCCAAGCACGACTAAACCTACAGAAAGTGCTCCAGCAGCTGAAGTTCAAGCAGCTTGATACGTATTTCCTCTTTTTTTAGGGAATTTAGCCCAATCTGTTATACCTGGATGTGCTTTTTCAGTTAATCAGTTGTATCGTCCATTCGTACATTTTTTTTGTTAGATAAGGTAGTGTGTTTTTTCAAATCAGTTTACTATGATGATCAAATGTAGCATCTTCCCTTGTGCACTGAAACTAGAATAATGTTTCGGAAATGCAAATTTGGAAATGGCTTATCAAAGAGAAGGATTGAGCATGTTCGAGTTTGCTTCTTGTAATGTCTTCTCTTGTGTAGTTTGGTGCCTGGTATTGTTTCTTCTTATTGTATGAATGCAGTCAGGATGGTGTCCAATTTTCGTTTTAAAAATTTATGCTGCTTGAATTTATGCTTGACTTCATATAGAGCAAGATATGCATGACAGTATAAGAGTTTAATGTGTAGTGCTGTAGTGTCTCTTGTATTTGGTGTGAGCTTTTTCTACGTTTATGTTTTGTTACAATTTTTGCCAGTGTCCTAGCCGAGTTGGCATATAATACCGTGTATACAACGTCCCCTGCGATTGATTGTGCATTTTCAGCATTGAAAAGAGAAGCATCACTAGGCTCACATTTTCCAGGTCTATCTCTGTGAATCTTGTACTCAAGACTAGATTTCCAGCTAAATAGGTGTAAAAAATGGAAGGCTACCGTTCTTGCAACGAAAACTAGGAGAAGATGCATATATATTTTTGTTTGCATCAGATGAACCAGCAATGAACTTATGAAGAAGAATCATGTATGTTATTGCTTGATCTTCTGCGTAACGAACCAGGAAGAAACTACTTGTGGTTATAACTTACAGAGATACCTTAACGGTGAATGGTATGTTCGTATCAACTTTACATACAACTTTACATAGAAAGTAATAGCAATGGATTTCTAAAAGTTGACTCATTTCATGTTTGGTCATATTCGGTGAAGTTTCTGCACAAGGATCCCATTTTTTGTGCATGAATATAATGCTTTTATGGTAGTTTTGTTGTCATGCACCCTCTACTGCATGAGCATGACAAACCTTGTTCACGCCAATGGCCACGATGGGAGAATTGCAATCTTCCTTTACGTTTATGTTGGGCTTCGTTTTGCCCTTTTGTTCTTGCCCTTGCTGGGAGACGGGCCTGAGAATTTGGTTCGGTAGCTGGGTAGCTTTTTAGTGCTTCTCAGCCTCAACAAATATGTAAAGTGGTTGTTAGGTTTGATTACCGTAAATGATAAGTTCGAATCAAATAAATATGAATAGATCATTGTGTAATTTAGCCTTTCCACCGCTTAGTTTAATACTTCGTTGTATTAGAAAAAGCAGGTAAAGAAAAATATGATGCTAATATCAGTAAAACATTTATATAGTCATAGAAGTGTAGTTATAAAAAAAAAAAAATTTTGACTTAACCGATAATATTAGAGAAATTAGTTAAGGTGGTTTATACACTGTGAACCGAAGACCTACAAATGATTTAGTTAAAAGATGTGATTATGAGATAGAGACTCAAGGCAAAATGGGTAGAGGAAGACAAGGAAATAGGTTGTAAGAAAGACAAAGAGTACTTGGAACTAACAAAAGACTTTGTACAAAACTGAGTGCAGTGACGTTCTAGAATTCATACAACCGATCCCACCTAATAAGATAAAGCGTTGTTGTTGTATCCTTGATGAAAGTTATATGGGTACAAAGAACCACATAATTGTGACGCACAGATCATGAAGTTCCTACTTCAAGTTGCTTTGGATTCCAATAACAAAGTCAATATTGGGCAAAGGCACTCATGATGATCTCCAAGAAATTGTTGTGTACAACAATATCATTTTACAATCTGTTATCAACTAGCACTTTGAATTTTATTTTTTATTTTGAACAATCATATTTCAATAACGCTTAAATGGTAACAATCATCATAAAAGTTAAAATTTGTTGAATATTATTTGGTCCATTTGGCAATAATATTTAGCACATGGATGGATCTATATTTTGGAATGAATCATGTTACCTCGTATAGAGGGGTATCTTGTTAAATCAGTTTATATGCATTTTATAAGGTACAAGTCTTGCAATTTTTTATTTTTTATATAGAACAATTTGATCAAGATTTAACTTCAAAATAATATATTTGAACCCAATAAACATCTTCCACACATAATTTCAAATTTTATAATACAAACTTCCCATTTTGGCTGGTGATTCGACAGTGGTCAGCGAGGAGGGGGGTGGAGGTTACCGTCCGGTGAAAGTTTTCTCTTTTATGATTTTTTTATTTTTAATTTGATTCAAGGGTGCGTGAATGAGAATATGTGTGAGAGATTTAAATGGGTGCGTGAAAATCATCTTCTTGTTTCGTATGATCTAAACATATTGTTTTGAAGATATCATTGAAAGATGATCTTTACAAATTTTCACTCAAGTTGAAATGTATTTAGGCATCTAGTTGTGACCACATAAATATAAGCAGAACTTTTTCAATAAACAATGAAATGTCCACGATAGTTATCAATGACTAATAGGTTCATGTTTTGAGTGGACTTTGCAAGCACGATCTTTGATTGATGACTACAAAATAAACGATTTGGATGATTAGATTAATTCTGAAATGGACCTAACGAGTTGTTAGGTTATATATGGAGTTGTAGAGGATCCTTGCTCTAATTTTAGTTTTTTTTTTTTTTTTTTGGTACAACAATATATTTTTACATTATGGGGAGGTGGAGTCGGAGTTCGGCTAAGCCACACAATGGTCAACCTAATTTGGTATCAAAATCACTATCAATGAGATTCAAACCTAAGACTTCTTACTTATAAGTGAAGAGGAATACCATCAAACGGTATACTGAGTAACCACTCTAATTTCAGTTTGTTCAACAAAAATATATGTTAATTAATTGTTTGGACTCTTTTTTTTTTTTTTTTTTTTTATGGGAGGTTTATACCATAATACCATATTATACTTAATACTTTGTAACTGTACTTCAAATTATCTATATGGTTTGCCTTTTTTTTTTTTTCCTCTTCTTTAGATTCAGCAACACAACAAACTATCATCCATGACATTATAATTCAAGAGCTTCTTCAAAAAATAAAGATTGAAAGTCGCTAGACCGAATAGTCATTGTCAGTAACAACATGTAAGTGTAGAGCTCGATGTGAAAAGTAGAAATGATATCTTTAATGGTTGTACAATTTTTCCAAATCTACAAAAAAATGAAATGCTGTTACGAAGTCAGCAACTGATTCATTTTTAAAGAGAAGTGAAAACGTTCGTATAATTCTTATATTATAAACTCTTGTATGCATTCAATCATTTCAATATAGGATTGTGACAACCATGGATCTACATTGTAATATAATCATGCTCTTTTTATCTGAAATTCCCTTTTTATCTGAATATTCTTCTATTAATTTAAGAGGTCACTTCCTTTTGCATATCATCACATCCTCACCTTTTACTTTAATTATTTTTTCCACTGCTCCTCTCTTTGATCTCCTTTTTGGTTGAAAGTGGTCCCTTTGAACCCAGGCACTGGTTCAAAAGCATATCCTTTTTATATTTTGGTACATCTTTTTGGATTAAAAAAAGTGAATCCCTTTGAGGGTTTCTTCATTTCCTTTTAATTAGGAAGAATAAAAAAACAATTAGTAAGAAATAAAAAAGATAAATGTATGAAAAATGAATTTTCAAATTTTAAACATATTAAATTTTTAGGTTCAAGTGATGGTGGATGACGTATGTCATAGTGAACGAGAACTGCAAGTCGAAAAAGGTAGATGAAAAGAGGATGTATTTGTTCACCAACCTAAGTGATGATAATGTTCGCCATCACATTTATCACTGGTAAATGAGCTTAAATTTCAAGATTTGTATAGCGAATAGACACAAATCTCAAATTTTATTATCTTTCAATAAATAAGGTTGTGGGCAAAAATACACTCAGATAAAAAACGTAACTAGCATTCCTCTTCTTTGTAATTGTAACAATAATAAAAGTAATCATACTAAAACCAAGTTTGTGCATTTTCCTTTTCATAATTACTTAAATGATATTTATTTAGGTATAAATGACATTAATTACTAGTGCAAGGGAATAAGCCATATTTGTTGAGAGCAATCCCTACATATACCATGTTCATGAAGGGCTTTGTGTTAGAAAGTTAGAGAAAGATCACGTACATGTGAAAGAACTATTTTAATCAGATTATTTACAATAGTATAAGATTACTGAGTAGTTTCAAAAATTAAAAATTATCTTCATAAAATTGAATTGTAAACTAAAAAAACAAAAATCAAACAATAAAGATTATTTAAAAAGACGGCTACTTGGAATACTAGTAGACGACTAAAATCAAGCCAAAGTAAGTCACTTTGATAATTATGTAAAAACATTACAATTGTCAAATTTTAATCATAGAAAAAGCTAAAAGACAAAAGTTCACAAAGTTAGGCACTTTGATAATTGTGTAAAAATATTACAATTGTCAATTTTTAAAAGAATCATGGAAAATAACTAAAAGACAAAAGTTCACAAGAGAAAACGGAGAAATGAGAAAAACCTAAATTATTATATATTTTTATGAAAATTGAAACAGATATAGCCAATAAAAACAACAATCACCAGAGGGCCTATTCTTAACTTTTTTTTTATTTTTTTTAATTTATTTGATTATTCTCAATTTATTTGATTAAATAACTATAAATTAAAATAATAACTTAAGATTAAAAAAAAAATTGTAAATAACACTTTTCCCAGAAAATATAAATAAATAAAAACCTCTGCAACCAACTCAGTTGGGCCCGCGGTTTTTAATCACCCTTTATAATGAAAATCTTCATGATACGAAACGAGATCAACAGGTGGAAAAGTATTAGAAACAAATAAAATAATAACGCATTTCAGAGTGGGACCCAGCAATATACTGTCTCTCTCTCTTAGGAGGTAATCCGATGCGACCGCCCGATCACAGCGGGTCTTCCTCTCAGCCGTCCGATGAAAACGATTGCCCCCCTCTCTCTCTCCCCATGGATCTTCTCCGAAGCAAATTCTAGAAATCCTCCTGATCCAATAACACCACCACACACTCTCACTCTTAACTCCAGATTCTCTCTCTCTCTCCTCTGAGCTTCTGAGAGGCGTTGGAGTTTGGGGAAGAGAAAGACGCAAGCATTTCGGATTACGAGGCTGCTGACCTAATGATTCCTCTCCGCCTTTGATTTCTCTGCTTTTTTGTTACCT